GAGATTATCGATGACATGCGCATACATCTCAGATGCAACAAATGCACAAGTAATGTTCCTGTGGTATTTCTGAACACCAGGTAGAAAACATGTATGCTTGGTAACGACTGACACTGTCCAATAATCCTTCCATTTCCCCTTATACGCGTGCACTCTCCAGGGACAACCATCTTTTTCCTTAATACACCGAACTTCATATTGCGACCGGTTCGACTTGGCAACCCTAAACTCTCTATGAAGTGACACTGCAAAATGTTTTACCGCCTCCTTCATATCTTCTGCTCTACTATAAATCGCTCCCTGAATAACCTCATTTTCTTTGTACTCCCATCTCACACTATCCTCTTCAGAGACGATCAGCCCAGAAAAATCCTCACTAGCCCATTCTGCTGGATTAATATCCGTCTCATCATCTGACGAATCACCTTCCTCTACACGCTCGTTGTCAGAATCCTCCCTCTCCATTTCATCCACAATGGCACCGACAGTCTCCCCCTCGTCAGCCACTCTACCTGGTTGAATGCCTACTGGAGCTACTATGCCCCCGTCCTCTCGTGCGTTGACCTCCTCCACAGAAGTCTCGTTTACTTCAGCACTTGGTCCCTCGCCATCATCCATGTTCATCTGCACACCTGGATCCTTCGGGTGAACAAACGGAACCAAAGCTAGAGGCCACCCGCGTTGCAATGCATTTTCCAAATACCATCTCCACACTCGAGAGTTTTGAACTGGCATTAGTTCCCAATAAAAACCCTCAGTTGCCCGACTTACTATAACATTGATTGTTATGTCACTTGTCTGTGGATCAACTCTCAAGCCCCTCATTAACCATCTTTTTATAGAAGGTACACTCCTCTCAGCCGGTCTATCAATTCCCCTTTCTGATACAATAAAATCTGACAGATCTACCCCAGTTGGCCCGTAACGGACGTTTCCTGGTCCATGGTAAACTTGGAATATTTGTTTGTTCGACATATCTGTCAACGAAATAACTAGATCATATTACTCTTTCATGCAATAAACATCTACAACGTAATATCTTGTGTAAGCCAATGCAACGGTAATGTATTGATTCCAAACTAGCAGATCTATGTAGTTACCGATATCTACAATACGCACTTCTAGATTAGTACAACTAAAACCCTAAAAATATAATGCATTTATTCAAACAAATTTTTAAAGAATACACACTATTTAACTCAATAGTCATATATAGGATCTATGAATATTACCTGAAATCGGCGTTTGAATCCGGCAGGGCTTCGCCCCTTCTTCTCTTCTCCTCCCCTCTCTTCTTTTTTTTTTCACTGGAATTGAGGAGAGAAGAATGAGGGCTGGGGGCTGGGCAGCAGGCCTTTTATAGGCAGTGAGGCCTGCCGCCTGGCCAGAGGGCGGCAAGGGGCCGCCTGCAAAATAGCCGGCCCCGTCTGGCTTTTTTGCATTCGGGCCCCTTGCCGGGTTTTCCTGCAAAAAAACCCTCCCTCCGTCATCGCCCGTTCCTCCCCCGTTTGCCACGTCAGCTTGCTGCCCCAGAGGTGGGCGGCAGGGTCTATTTTTGTAATTTTTTTGGCCGATAGATTATTTCTGTAAATATTAAAAAAAAATCTAAAACCGAAAAAAATTCCGTCGCCGTGTGACCGGACAAGAGCCTGACCCGATCGACGATGGAGGCAACAGATGAAAAACTTGTAGGAACATTATCAAGTTTTATAATAGTAGATTGCATAAAATAAAATCTATCTATATATTTGCGTTAAAACAATATTTTCATGGTATTATAATGCTCTCAGTTTTTTTAGAAAAAAAATCTTCTGCAATAATTAATTCCTCCATCTCAAAAGGCATGTAGTTTTAGCATAAAGATATTATAAGCAAGAGGTTAAAGGAATACTATGACATTCGTTAATACAGATAAAAAACAAGGACAGAGTATAGCTAAAAATGATGAAGCCGTATAAAAGAGGTTTAATTTAGTGGACCAAACTAAAACTACACTCCTTTAGAGATAAATTCTTAAAAACTACTCTCCTTTAGAGATAATTTTTTAGAGTAAAACTACGCCCTTTTAGGGACAGAGGAATTAGATATTGATGGTCAATATTGTATTTTAAAGACCACATAGATATATGTTACTCTTGACATGAGAAAATAATGCAAAATGCAAGACATTTCTTAATAACGTTAGTACATCTATATCCTGGTTTACGTATTAAGGATGTTTGCTATGATAATGATTTATATCGTCCAAATTAAGGTTGAACACAAACAACATAAGGCAGATATCCACAAAGGCTGCAAATGGCATTATACATAGTGGACACATACGCACTAAATTGCTTATAATATGGACTACAGTCTAGGCGAGCAAATTTACTTGCTAGCCAGCTACTCTCTCCGTTTCAGGTTATAAGATGTTTTAACTTTAGTAAAAAATCAACTGCTTCAAGTTTAACTAATTTATAAACAAATATAGTAATATTTATATTACCAGATTAGTTTTATTAAATTAAAAATTAAATGTATTTTTTAAATTTATCTTGAATAAAAAATATTATTAGTTTTTCTATAAATTTAATTAAATTTGAAGTAGTTTAATTTTGATCAAAGTTAAAACATCTCATAACCAAGCCCGGCCGTGGAAGGGCAACCATCGTGGCCTACCTGACGATCACTGTGCTCTGCTACTTCGCCACCGCGCTCGTGGGCTACAAACATCTTGACAACGAGTGCTCGCGTCGACGCCACCCGACTAGCAGCATGCCTCGCCCTGAATTTTTCTTATTTCCTTAATACACGTGTGCACACAGATACGTACACTACAAGCATACACCTCCGAGAGTGCCTTTCTTTAGTACTAGCTGAGTGCCCCTACTTTGCACCGGATACAAAAAAATACAATTTTCTTTTTATGAAATGTGTTTTTTTCCTATAGCGCATAATCATTTTATATGTCGTAACTTTTTTTAATTCTAAGAAGTTTAAGGGGGGTAAATTTTGTAAATTTTTAATGGGAGTAGGTGGAGTGACAGATTTAATACCATCACCAATACCTTGTTTTAATTAGAAAAGCATATACATACTCAAAGTAGTAAGAAACTTTGCTACAGTAATTTTCTTGGAATCACATGTATCTTAAAAGCATCTTCAATAGTCTTTCCATCTTACTCTCCAAGCAAAATTTTGGTAAACTTGGGCAAGAGAACGCCCTCCAACAAACTTGTCATCCAACTTACCAAGCCAAGTGGCTGGTCAGATTTCTCACTTGGCTGACCAAATCTAGCAAATTGGAACCACTTGTAGCATGGATCCCACCACCCTACCTTCTCTCTCCCCTCCCTAATCCCTCTCATGTCGTGCCTCTACCTCCTCACCGTGCAAGTACATGTTGTCACTGGACATTGTGCCTCCGCCTTCCCCACCGCGCAAGGGCATGTCGTCACCGGCTGTCACGCCTATGCCTCTCCACCGCGCAAGCCCACCACGTTCGCTCGTCGTCGTGCCACCCCTCCTCTCTGCATCGCCGTCCCCACCTTCCCGATGTGGTTGTCCCTAGTCCCTACCACCACCTCCACCCCATTAGGGTGCTGGTGCTGCCACCACCTGAGTGCAGCTCCTACCACCATCCACTTCTTCCCCTCTCTCCACCCTGCTATCGCGGCCGCTTCCCCTTTCGCCGCCACTATTGCCGCCAGTTGGTGGTGGAGAACTGGAGGATGGATGATTGGAGGTAGTAGTTGGAGGAAGGTGTAGAGGAGGAAGGAGTGAGAGACTGACATATGGGTTCCTGTGTAAATGGCTTGAGCAATGGGTCTGGCTTACCAAATTAGTTGGAGAACTGGCTATACTGATGCTTGTAGAGCCTGGCTTAAATAGGTTGGTGGAGTTGCTCTAACAGATGGAGTCCGATGCCTATATCCACCACATTGTTTAATTATGGGCATAGCTACATTGAAGATATAATGTAGTTGTGGCTAGCTAGGTTAACAAAATTGATCAGTCTTAGTCGGTTTTCATAGGCACTGATCAAAACTCATCAGTTTTTAGCAAACCAAAACGAAAATGTAAAACCTTCTTGGAGCCCTTGTGGATGGATAGCTTCACCTACCAAGGTTGATGCTCACATAATAACTAATCTCAATAAATATGCCACTAAATATGATTTTAATACAGGATGTATAAACATGGTATGGTGGATTCTTAAGATGGACATTGCAACCTAAAGGAAATGGAAGCTTAGCCGAGCTTTACTCCAATAGTCTGTCAGCAGCCCTGTTCAGATTGACACACCTTGACCGAACCACAGTGAGCTGAAGTTATAGAATTGAGAAAATAAACTACTTCCTCTATTTCACAATGTAAGTTATTTTAGTATTTTTCATATTTATATTGTTGTTAATGAATCTAGATAGATATGTATGTCTAGATTCATTAACATCAATATTAATGTGGAAAATATTAGAATGACTTATATTGTGAAACGGAGGGAGTAGAAGTCAGAAGCTGAAAAATCTAGCTTCTCCATATTCTCATAAACTGACTACCAGCTAGTTGTTTTTTAGAATTTTAAACTCCACAAACAAACTCGAAGACTGAGTGAACAGTGGCAGAGGACTGAGTAACAGTCGCTGCATCCTTTTCATTGGCCTTTGCGTGTAATTTGGGGCATCTCGCATGCATGCATTATTCCCTTTCTCATGGGAGTGGATTTTGATCCCTCGAGGGGATGTTCCCTTATTGTTTGCATGTCACTCAAATAGTTATGAAAAAATTTGAGAAGATATATTAATATGTGATATATCACTCCACAAACATGCAAGTTTAAATTCAATTTCTACGTCTCGCAACAAAAAAACAAATTTGACTATAAATATACGTTAACTAGCTGTAGTTTAATTTATCACGCTATTGTTGACCGCATAGATATATGTTACTCTTGACATGATGAGAAAGTAATGCAAAATGCAAGACATTTCTTAATAACGTTAGTACATCTATCCTGGTTTATGTATTAAGGATGTTTGTTATGATAATGATTTATATCGTCCAAATTAAGGTTGAACACAAACAACATAAGGCAGATATCCACAAGGCTGCAAATGGCATTATACATAGTGGACACATACGCACTAAATTGCTCATAATATAGCCTACAGTCTAGGCGAGCAACTTTGCTAGCTCTATGATCCACAAATTCAACTAAACAGAATGAACCTACCTAACAAACAAGCCTGGTCTGGCCTGATCTTCATGAATACAGGCAGAAAAAGTTCTTCAGATGTAAACGCCACAGTTCAGCAGCATCCTTGATTTCCTTCGCGAAATTCTCAACTGCATGCCCATTCATCCTCATGACTTCCTGTCAAGATGCTACTGCAATGCTGAGCACCCAGAGGTCCAAAATTCACCTATCAGTTTTTGGTGCAAACATTTTCTTGGGTCAATATCTATTCTTTATTAGTGGAATGAGGCAGAGCTTCTGCCTTGTTTAAAAATAAATTCGCCCATTATGTCACTGAGATTGGACCAGAAGCTCAGTTACGGTTCCTTGGCAACCAGATTAGCAGTCTTCAGGACTTCATCAATAGCCTTATTGATTATGCTATCTCTGGCCTGCAGTATGCACCAGAATATGAAATCATCATGAGATGCTTCAAGAAACAATGAAAGAATTGTAGAACAAGAAATCAAAAGCCGACCTTTACTCCAATGGCCAGTGCTGTTCTGACATTCACCACTTGACCTAACCTCAGTGAGCTTTCTTTGTTGTCCTTGAGGCACAACACAGGAACCTGCCTTGTAGATGCCAGGGTTGGTATGTGTTTTGTTAACCATTTAGGGTTGCAATCAGCAGCTACAAGGACAACCTACAATACCATGTTACAAGATGAGAAATATTTGTCAGCATTAACATTCTGCATGTAGACATTGTAGCTAAGGGCATGTGCAACACCTAATCACCCTTTTGTTGCTCTTGGCTGAACCTTAACCAGATATTAACTGAATCTCTCTTTTTTTATTGGCTAAACATATGACAGAAAATAGGGACAGTCCCACGAGCAACTCATGAATGCAGCGTGTTTCCATATGTAGACAATGTTTAGACTTAGCACTCTGCAGAAGACCAGAGTTTGATACATCACACGTGAATAATGAATTGATAGTTCTGAGATTGTAGTACGTAACCATGACTGAAATACGTTGAAAACTACATTCAGTAACATTTTACTGGCAAGCTGTAAAGCACTCGTTCTTTGAAGGGGGCAATGGACTCATGTCCTTTTCTGGACTAAAAGAGAGAAAAAAATGGTGTGTTATTATGCATCAAAGCATATTTGTGCTTTAATTAAAAAATAGTTTCCTTCGAACTAATAGATATATGCAAGCTAAACTCAAACTTCATAAGAAGGCTGTCAAACTCTAAAGACTAAGCAATAGCAAGAAAAGAAATCGACCTGAAGAAGCACCGGAGGAGCTCTACACAGAGCTTTGTCAGTTATTGCTTCAGTAGAAGAGTGACCAGAATGGGTGGCAGCAGTAGCAGCAGGCATTCGCTCAAGAACCCTTGTGACATCATTGACCCCAACGGCAAATTGTCGCTACATGGACAAAAGTCATACATGCAAATGAACATAAAAATCTTCTGAACATAGTCATTATAAGAGATCTACAGACAATAAGAGTCTGTGAAATTGAAGTTAGGATATGGAACTACCTTCATCCATATCTTTTCCGGCAACCCTTCCCTTGAAGCCTTTGCAACCTCCACGCTCCTAAACAGTACATTTCACCGGAATTAGAAGCAAGCAACACCCTAAAGAAAGGTCGAGGGAGAGACAATTTGCTACTGACTTAATAAGCTTCGATAATAGGTCATCAAGAGCGTCTCCTCCAATGTAATCCGAAGTTATTCTTCCCAGGAAGAAAACACATTGTGAATCAATCCCTTGAAATTATTCTTCTAAAAGTCACTCAAACAACTAGAATTACAACCAAGAATACAGTAGAGCAATGATTATATTTATTTATATATACCCTTGTTCAGCATCTTTCAACGGCGCCTTTATTGGCAATTGAGACTTGTTCTTCTTCTTGCTCATGGGCACCAAACAGAGAATCGCTATAACAACCAGTAAGAACACCTATAAACAGCAGGAGAATACAACCAAGCCATTATTTCCGCCTTCAGATTATAGCACACTAGATAATTTCAACGAACATCCGTACATTGAGCACCCATCTACTCAACCAGTTAGCGAGGAATCGATAGCCCAAATCTAAATCCAAACACTACTGATGCTCAATCATCGAGGCGCGCGAACCTGAACACTACTTAATCTGCAAAAATCGGACACTGCGGCCGGAGATTACCTCCTAGGTAGGAGCCGCCGCAGGGTTAACGTCTCCGCGCGCAGCCGCGGCGTCGAACTCGCCGTCTCCGGCGGCCGCTGGATTCCAGCACAGGGAAGGCGCGGCCGCCGACGGAGTGGGGCGAGCTCGCCAACTAGCCTAGGTTTTCCTCTCTTCAACGGCCCAAACCAATTGTTTCTCTGCAGGTGGGCCAGAGAGACAAGATAAATGGGCCGTTAAGCCCAATACTTAACCGGGCTGAGGCTCATAAGAGGGCCGTCGTTGGCCTGGGCCTTTTATTATGAACGGCCCATTTGGATGGTCCATCTTCGGCCTATCCATCTGGGCTTCTCTGATAACTAGCCACTTAATAGTGCGTTGCACAACTTTAGGTGCCCGTAATGCACAATCATACTTAATTTTGATTTTTTTTTTCTTTTACAAAATCATACAGCTTGATAAACTATTAGTTAGAACTATAGATTCAGCTCAAGCTATATTTGAACTGTAGCTCAAGCTACAAGGCATAAAATAGTCAAACCTAACGCAATACATAGTAGCAAACTAAACGGCAATCTAGTCCATATTTTGAAACCAACACAGATTGCTCAAAGATCATTTGACCTCGGAGTATCTCAAGAAGATAACATAATAAACATCCCAAAATAAAAATGCACAATTTTGTTATGAAGTGTAGTAAAAAAATCCAGAGTCATCACAATTAGTGTAGTTTGTCTGTTTGTGCATTGTTGCCACCCAAAAACCCTTTAGCCCAAAGCCAAAGAGGATTTCTCAACTCTTCTCTGTAGACCTGAGAAAGTAGATATGATTGACATTTACTAATTACATAGGCTAAATGCAAAGTCAGGAATTACAGTATTCAGGTGATTGGTGTACAACTAAAAAGGTGCCATCGATGTTGGCTTTTAAGATATATCAAGTAGAATCTAAATTTTGTTGTTAATTAACAGGTTAAGGTTAAGGTGCCATCAGGCCTCATGAACACACCAGAGAACCAATAACATAGTGACCATGAGCTGTTTGCTTGGTTTTTAGCTTCAAAACTCAGAAGGCAAAAATATTAAAGTGAACAGGTAATAATAGATTTTCTATCTGCTTAGCATTAAATTGTGTCCTAAACTCCTAATACATTGATGTCCTTGATTCACATATTTGCACAACAGATTGACGCAGGGCAAGAAACCAAGTGTCTTTTACTGTCATAGAAGGCACTTGTTAATGTCAAACCAAACCTTTAGATCATTGCTGATGATGCTAAAAAAAATCATTTGAGTTGGCTATCCGCCTTTAAGATTAATATTCCCTTGCTGAACAAAACACAACAACAATCCTTTTTTTTTAAGGGAAACATAATTGTACATGTGTTTTATAACATTGCTCTTTGTCAATCCATCCTATTACTGTTATTTTTTTGACCTTATATGTAGTTCCCGGCTATAGTGTGAGAAGGCAAAGATAGGAGGTGGTGGGATTTTCTGAGTTTGTGACTTACCAAAATATTTAGCTGTGATCCGATGCTTTTTTGAGCTGCGATTGGGATGGGGATGGGGATGAGAAAGTGAGTAGGAGGCGAGGAGGTGGCGGCAATGGGGGACTGTGTGAGGAAGATCGAGATGCCGGGTGCAGAGAGGAAGGGAAACGCCGCCGGGGGCGGAAAGGAGAAGGCGACGGCGTGGGACTCGGGGTGGATGGGAAGGCTGTTAACAGCGAAATTTGGTAAAGCCCAAAGTCATCATCGGCTTAGAGTTAATATCGGCTGGAATCAGCCGATTGGGGGAATCAGTCGATGGGAGTCGTCAAATTGCCACGATGTTGTGTTCTCGATGGAATCGGATCAATCAAAGGAAGCTTATCTAGAAGAGTCCGAGTTCAAGAAGGATGCGGCATGGCAGTTTATCTATTAATTAGGCATAGTTTGTTAGTTTCCTTTTATCTTTAGGAAAGTGTGTTTAATGTCCGATAAGGACTTTATTTCTTCCTTTTATCTTTAGGATAGTTTCTTTCTTGTCCGACAAGGACTTGTATCAACATATGGGTATAAATATGTACACCCGGGGTCTATGTAATCTATCAATCACGATCAATACAACTACTCTCGGCGCATCGCCACCCTCTTCCCTGAGGTTTTTACTTATCTTCCGGCGGAATTTGGGCACCTGACGCAGGGCTGCATCGGTTCAGTTCGATCTCCGGCGAAGGGGTAAGTCCTACGTTCCGTCGGGCCCTGGTGAATTTGTCATCTACGTCGGCATCGCTCAAGGCTGCATTAGTATATTCAATCTCTTGGATTGCTACGGTTTGGATGATATATTTACCTACCTATTTATCATATGTCTCTGTTAATCTAGTCTTAGCATATCAATTTAGCTCTATCGGCTGCTTCTCGCTTTAGGGTTTCTGCCGGTATCGGCTAAATCGTATTGCTAGATTAGATTAGCTTAGATATCTACCACCCTGAAAATCAGTCAACGGCTTGATTGTCTAGATATTATGTTTCTTTTCATACTTAGTGCTGCATCAGTTAAGTTTGATCTACTAAGTCGTGCTTAGAACCATAATTTCTAGCCTGCTTCTTGATTGCCAATAAGGGTTTCATCGGGGTTTCAGCCGGTGAGTTATCTGGACGTTGCATCGGCTCATAAGGATCGCATATACATATAAGTTAGATTTAGCCGATGACAACAAAGGTTTCACTGTTTAATCTAATCTTGTGAATTTCCTGACATCGGATCCCCAGCCGATGTATGCTTTAACCTTTGGATCAATACTTGTTCTACTATATCATATTATTAGCCGATTGGTTTTCTACTGGATTATATTGCTATATTATATTATCATCAGCCGCCTTTATATCATTATCTACATTGGACATATAGCCGATCGCTTAAACCCTATCGCTATCGGCTGGTATCGGCATTGGCTATTATCGGCTATCGGCTGGAACTACTCCATCGGCTTATCAGCCGATCGGCTGTTTGATCTACTGTTTGCATATCTTGTCAGTGGCAGGATCAAACTGACTGGCACGCCCGCATCTCATCATATTTGGACCTGCACAGGGGCTAAGCAGATCTCCCAGGCCGCCGTGTTCGATTTTTACGTCAACAAAGGCAGATGAGAAACTTCGCCGGATGGTAGGGGGAGGGATCTGAGGCGGTGGGGCTGCGCCGGCGACGTGGATATGGTCATATGGAGGCGGAGGAGGCGACGGCAATGGCTAGGCGGCGGCGATGGGTTTTGGGAGGAGATGGGGTTCTGCGCTCTTTTTTTTTTTTTTGTTCTTTTTCGTACCTGCTCCGTGATTCTCTTTTGTAAATACAAAGACTAGTATTCATATTACATTTAAGATTAGTTGTGGTGTCATATGGGGCCAAAAAAAGGTGAAGCGTTTATTGAATTAAATGGTGAGAAAAATTCTACATTAATCGAATAGAAGAATAACAATAATTTAGATTCATTTTCTATTATTAAAAGCAACAGTGTAGTTTAATGTTTAGCTCAACATGTGTGCAAATACGGGCCGATGATTAGCCTGCATGAATGATTTACTTTCTCTTGGGGCTTTAAAAGATATTGTGATCAAAGTTATTCTTAATTTTCATTGCAACGCACGGGCATTTAGCTGGGTAATACAAAATACAGCATGGCTGTGATCATAACACCAACACACAGCTACCTGACACTGCAGCATTCCTTCGTTTAAGGCAAGAGGGTCATGCCAATTGCCAAACAAAAACATAGTAGAGCTAAAAACCCTGAGAAATGTCAGAACCTAGGGTTCTTGAGCTTGGGCTGATCAGCTTCTGTGGAATTGCTGCATCGCTTGAGGTAGGCGTCGAGCGTCTTCTGCTTGGAAGGGCTGGGCCTAGTGTCGCTCTGGGACACATCCAGCGTTTTCTCCTGCCCATCCAGCATCTGGAAACACAAAAAAACAAGGCAAAGTTTGCTCTCTTCAGAATCATTCTCATGCACAAGCTTCATTCAAGCTTTGTATCATTGGAGTTTGGAGATGATGATGATGCAACATGCAAACATGCAGGTTATTATGTTCAGAGTTAACCGTATAGTTTAGCTGTGTCTTTTTGAAGTAGACATATGCATGTCAGAGATTAACAAATGCAGGTACACTAGAGATGACTCCTTCCAAAAATAATATGAACAGGTGGAAACATGAGCAAATGTTATTGTTCTTGTTACATATTATTTCATGTTAACGTGTAACTGAGCAAAGCGTGTAAGGGAACTTAAGTCTGATATAACCAAAAGGAACTGTAGAACAGTTTTCGCTAATTTTAGCTATCATCATTCATCACCCAACAAATCCAAGGATCAGCTATAGTTCACCGCAAAAGGTGTCAGTTATTCTAACAGGAAAATAATAGTCCATTGTGGGGGGAGGGTAGAGAGATAAAGAACCTGTCCCAAATTCTCAAGTTTGCCTTGAACAACGTCCCTGGAAAGCAGATGGTAAAAATGGCCACTTAAGTACAAGATCTAAAGTAGAACACTTATGAAGTGAAAACAAAGAATGGGATGTACCATATAATGTCATCCACAGTGTCATTTGCAAGAAGGTAATATATGTTCACCGAAGAAACCTGAAAATAATTACAGAAAATAAGAACAGCCAAGTGAGTGAATCCACAAATTACCTATGTAAGTGAATCCATTGAAAGCCTATCAAATATTCAAACAACACTGAGATTTTAAATTTTTGAGGAAAAGGTTGCAGGGTAGCCACATTAATCAATTACGAAATTTACAGATACGGGATGCAGTATTCACCTGACCAATACGATGGGCACGGTCTTCGGCTTGAATAAGGTCACCTGGAGTCCATGATAACTCAGCAAAGATTACTGTACTTGCTGCTGTCAAAGTTAACCCAACACCTCCAGCTTTTATGGATAACTGCATAGTGTTAGGATATCATGAGATTGGAGCCAATGAAGGACTATAAATGTTTTCAACTAGCCAGTATGGTGAAACAGTGGCACATTGCATAACGCAACCACGCATACTGCGCTCTGAATGTTAGCTACATAACCCAGTGGTAGGTTCAGTCAAGTTGCCACAACTGCAGATCATTTGGCAGGGAAGGACACAGATTTTAAAAACTGACCAATTGTTGGGGTTTCAAAAATCAGCCTTTACAGAAAAAAAAATATTTTACATGCAATCAGCAACCTCAGAAAATCTGGCTGTAAGAAGATGTTTGCTAAGTAGGATTTGATCAAAATTCTAATAGATATAAAGCATACAAATTCTAACACATACCACTGCTGCCTTGATGTCATCCTTATTCTGGAAATCTGTGACTAGAGTCTGTCTTACAGGTACAGGTGTTTGACCATCAATTCTTATGCACTTAACTTTCTTTTTCTGAAACATGATGGTAAGTGGGTCAGTATATTAATAATCCAATTGAAATACATTTTCAGTGCTTACCAAGAGATGTTGGTGAATAGCTTCAAGCATGGATTGATGATGTGCAAATATTAAAAATTTGCACTCGGCCTGAAAGATGAAGGAAGTATTTAGTAATGCTTGCGACGACAGGATAGTTATTTGTACTGTTATTTGAAGTAAATAAATGGACCAAAAGAGTGTTGTCACAAAACAGGCTAGGAAGGCCATTTGAGAGCCAGTTTGAAAACCAATTGAAAATGAATGTTATTGATTCTAAATATCAAGTAATATCATCTACCAATGTAGGTCCTGTCAAAGCACATGAAGCATGGCCAGGATTCTGTGAATCACAAATAGCACAGTGTAATTTTGTTCAAATTAATGAGCTTGTTCCTTTTTGGTAATCCAGAAACTAGCAAAGGTTAGCCAGTGTGTGAAATGTTACTCACATCTGATACCACAAGACAGGAATAGAGGACAAATCATAATATTTCGCACAATTACCTCAATTATAGTACCCAGGTAATCTAGCACTGCTGGAATTTTGGCTTCAGCTGAATCATTGTAGATCTGTGATTAGGAATGACAAATGAGCACCGATGCAAGAATAAAACCACTTCCAAAGAACACAAATCTTAATGTCGAGCGCATATAACAGAGATTGAATTTGAATCTAAACTCTAAAGATGGAAAATAAATGAAGGGCAAAAGGTTTGATCAAATCCAAGTATTTGCACATTTCATTCGATGATACATTTAGTCATTTACATAATATTTGGATAAAATACAAAAGTTGCAATTTTAGGGAATATCCATTTTTATTTCTATATAATTGATGCAGCTTAGTTTATAGTTGGAAGCATACTCTAGTTTGCAGTAATAATCACCAGAAATAGAGGAGCATGAAGACATAATTCAGATCACCTTGTTAATAAGATTCTTTTGAGCAAATTTGAGAGAGTCCATCGTCTCCTGGGAGTCACAGGACTGGATTTTGATCTTCACAGTCTCCAACTACAAAAGCACACACTGCATCATAGCTCTTCCGTACAAAAATTTAAATAGCATTCAAGGATGCTACAGGCACAACAAAACAAATGACTAATTCATGCTGCACCTCTTCTCTTGGATAAAAATGAAGCTTAACCACTTCAAAAGAGCATAGTTTGTTGATAACAAATGTAAAGATAAGAGCAACGTAATTCTGTTTTTCAGCTCAACTTAAGAAGAAATATATGGACTAGCTTTGAAATATGTGATATATACGGATTGAATGGCTAGCTGCGCAGGGACAGCAAAAAGCCATATCAGCATATCATTCTAAGGTTCTTCACTGATGCAAAGATATAAATATAAAATGAGCTATATGAAATGCATATGCATTGAGCTACCTAGAAATGATTCCCTGTTTCTTGTGCACTATGAAGTAGGTCAAATGAAACAGAAATGGAATACCTCATGAAATAGAGCACGAATATGTCTCATCTCTTTCTCACTTAAATCCAGAAAGGCCTGAGTAGGTTCCAATGTAAGTAAAAGTATTAGGGTAGACAGGTAATAATCACAACAGTAAAATAGATTAATAGGAACCAACATATCAGAGATAAGCTACATCCTACAAGTTTGTTTCATGTGGAAGATACTTTCCCCGTCCCGTAGTAAGTTCATTTTTAGAGTTATCATTGCATCGGAGTTTGTGAAAGCAGGGAATAATTGTATTGGGAGTAGATAAAGTGAGGAATAGTTGCATTGGGATTTGATAAAGTAGAGGTATTCTAGTTTTTTGGTTTTGTATTGGTATGTGCGGGATGGTGAAAAATGAACTTGTTTTGGGATGGAGGTAGTAACCAAGTATTCCTAATATTTCTGCATATAAATGAGCTTTTTTGGTTTTAAGCATTTAGAATAAAAGGTCAAGTCAACAGAAGGAATGGAAATAATTGTTCAAGCAGGAACTTATTCAGAAGGTCATGCTAGCAATCAGAAGATACAATGAGCTGTTGAATTTAAATGATAACTTTGTCATGAATTTGTCATGAATTTTCTGGATAAGAGAAAAATTGGGTGTTTATCCAATTATAGGATGAAGTCAATCCATATTTCCGACAAATCCAACAAGGTTACCTGTTGTCTGCGTTTAACAGGCAACTGTGAAAGGACATCTTTCTTCAACCTGCGGATCATGACAGTTGCTTTCATCAAATTATGAAGCTCCTCATGATTGCTAGCACCTTGATAAAGCCCAAAAAAGCCCTGATAAAGTTCATATAGTAAACTCTATCATAATTGGTTTGCAGAAAGTGAATAAAGCAATTCGATTGAGCTAGTACTTACACCTTTGCAATATCTATTACCATACTCATTAACATTCTTGTATACAGTTGGATACAATGCCTGGAGCTGCACGTAGAAAAATAAATTGTTTGTCTACACTAGAAAAATTGCTAGTAGTGAAAATGTGCATTTAACTATTGAATCTTGTACCTGAGTAAACAGCTCGATAGGGCGAGATAACGCAGGGGTGCCACTTAGCAAAACCACATATTTAGCTTTCTGCGATTAAAAAATACACAGTTAGTTTTCTTAAAATCATCCATGCCATTGGATAGAGATTCTTTCATGTAACTGCAATCAGCCAAGATATACTTCACTCTAATCTCTAAAGAGAAATGATAAATGGATTTAAAACCAAGTTTGATATCTGGAATTCAGTCTAAGAAAGCAGAAATGTCCTAAGGAACTGATGATATTAACTGAACATTATCTAAGACAACAGCATTCAGAATTTTATGGAAGTTTGGTGTCACCCCCAGCTTCCAAAATCCGCAGACTCGTGTACATATAGCACCCCACTTACACTTTCATCCCGCTTTGTGTCAAACAATTAACGTAGAGATGCTATGGTTGGAAGGGCGATTTGCAATTTTGCCACACATACATGGATGGCATTTGCTCTTTTTCCACATATGCGTGTACCGTGTATGACATGTGGCACCTGGGCCCAGTTGTCATTCACAGGGGGTGTGGCAAGTGACCAAACACCACTCAACTATGGGGCAAAAGAGCAAATCTCCCAATTCGATCAATTGCTATATAAGCTCACTAAAGAACCAAAGTATAATTTGTTCCAATCAACTCTGCATAAGAAACACCAAACCTGCAGAACAGGAAGTGAATGCATTGTTCTCTTTGCTTGGGCATTCTTCAGAAAGTGTGATTCATCAGCTATAACAATCTGAATGAAAACCATTTAAAGTGAGTATAAACAGATTATACACAGCAATACTCCAGATAAATTCATAGTAATTAGGAGATATCAGGGGGTCACTAGTTCCATATATGCAAATGGTGTAAATATGCAACATCATCATTGTACATAATTTACGGTACAGAGCAGAAGGAACTATTGAGAAAACGATACACAACAAGAGTCAACTTTTTTTTACCTTGAACTACAATGACACCTAATTACTTCAGTTACCAAAAGAAGCAACAAAAAAATTGGTCAACAAATGCATCAGCAGGTAATGTTACTAGTTACTAAACACTAATGATCCCTAAAGTAGTTCTGACTTTATCAAGTTGGTAGATTGATTGATCCAGCCAAGACACAATAGTGCTCGTAACACAACAATATTCTCGATATCCAACAGAAGTCCAAATCAAGTTCCGCAAAAATTACAAGTAAAGCTACACCCAAGCTAACTTCTATAAAATAGTGCTACCATGTTTGATTGATGTATAGGATCAAAGGAGGCCTTTGAACAAGTTGTATTTCAAATGATTCAGCAAGAGCTTTAGGAGATATCAGGGGGTCACTACAATATTGAACTGTTCAATATCTAAGCAGTAAAAGAACAGCCTGTGAAACGAGGCACACATCCTATATGTTCTACTGCGAACTCACCCAAGCCCATAGCCCATGCTTGTAATATAATTACGGCACGATAACATGTCAGACAAAATCCTACCTTAAAATCCAAGTCCAGAAGCATGTCCTTTATCTTGGGAACAACATCATAAGATATCACATTGAACACCCCATCCAGATTAAAATCCCCTTTAGTATTTGAATATACCAATCTGTATCCTGCTTTATTTGATCCTCCAGTTTGTGGTAGCACCACCTGGAAAAAAAATCTGTATCTGTAAGCATTATTCACAGCCCATAGATGCAAATTATCCATATCCGTTTATATGCTTTGGACTTGTCAAACTATGTAATTTAATCTCCATATCAAGTTCTTCCAGTCAAAATATGACTTCTAAAGTTCTATATGAACTTAGCTTAGTTGGGAACTGCAAATATTTTTAATGGTTCCTTTCTTTATATATCGAGTGCACTGCTACATCTCATATGTTCAAACAAGAATTTGCAAAGCAATTATGAAGCATTAGACTATATATGGGAGGTGACAGCATCTTAGATCCTGCAAGCAGTGCATCTTTAGAGACCCTTTTCATAAAATACATATTCTCAGTATAGCATGTGACCACCTCAATGATAGTCCTGAATAAGATAACGGGTTACTATGCTCTAGGAAATGGACGAAAGTTACATACACTAGGAAATTGAAGAAACACATTCAGCAAATGGAGTTAAGGATCATAAATTGCCACAAAATTTAGGGATGGCAGTTTATTATTTTGGTGAAATATGACAAGGGAAGCAGGAAAAACACAACCAAAAAAATACTGTACAGCATAATAAGGATAATACAGCATATATGGAGAGCAAACATTCAAGGGAGGAAAATCAAGTGCTCTGCTCCAATCACAGGGAGATTTATCATAATTAGTGATTAAGGGATTACTGTGGATAGGTTTTGTGAATAAGTAATGTGCAAACATGGATATATATATATCCATTGCTACATTAAGAAAACTAAAGGGATGTACCAAGATATCTTCCGTGGGGATGTTAAGCCAATGCTGAATCATCTGTTACAACCGCAAAGCAGAAAGGTTAAACTTCCCTCATGCATAGAGTTACTGTTGAAATGAAAGATAGGAAGTTTAACACAGGTGCTCACAGAAGCCCAATGTAATCGCAAGGATGATGGAGAGATTACAAGAACTGGCCAGGCATCATGAAGGCAAGAAGCAACAGCAATTGCCTGCATAAAGAAAATGAGGGGACCATAAATAATGCCTGAAAGAACACATAAACTCCAGACTTATAAAACTGTGAATAGGCCATTGCTGATCAATCTCTACTGTGCAAGCACACACTGATGGTACATTTATCGATTTTCTTTCAAGCTATTTGAAGGAATTATAGACTGGTCCACATGCAGATTGAGAATTGGCATCAACTCACAGTAATCATACCCCTGCATACCACACTATGACACTACTATCTAGTAGTGCCATATCACCATGTCCTAATGATGGAGGAAGAGTGGAAGAGTGCCCAGATATGTCATGCTAAATGAAGCTTGGGTCATATTGCAAAGAAAAATACTGCTATTTATAAATATAGAAAGGATATAAAGCCACTAGAGATTTACAATGTTCCAGAGAAAAAGTATACCTGTAATGTCTTGCCAAGACCCATTTCATCTGCTATCAGGGTCCTGGCACCATGCTGTAAAGCAAACCTGTTTAAACATCAAAGAAAAGGTAAGATGTGTTGAACTTGTAAAGCAGCAACGTGTTCGAAGTGCAAAAAATGGCAAAGCATGCGGTACTACACTTTTCAAATATTGAATGGTACTTATGCTCCTGGTCCTGGGTTTTGGTACTTACAAAGTTCAAGCTTTGTGTTATGGTACTACACTTTTCAAATATTGAATGGTACTTATGCTCCTGGTCCTGGGTTTTGGTACTTACAAAGTTCAAGCTTTGTGTTATGGGGTTTGGGCCCTGTAGGCAGTGAAGCATACCTTCTAGGGCATATTTTAGAGATAAGATTAGCTTGAGTTTTTCTTTATTTTAGAGATAAGCTTATTAAGGCTCCAAGTTATCCCATCTAAACGACAATGGGGTTTTATCTCTTATTATTAAGCAACGAATCTATACTTACTTTAAAAAGACTCCAATTGTAGTGACAGTGAATCCGCCACCTACCTGCTCCCATTGTAGCTTTTACATATCACCCCTTGAACTTCTTAATAGTACATAACAACTAAATCTAAATGGTTAGCCACATATAAAATTAACTTAAGGTGGGTACATATTCAATGGAAAATATGTTTTTATTATTTGGCAATACTATGATGTTTTTTTCCTTTTATCCGTAGCAAAGCACGGGCATTTAGCTAGTAAATGAAGTTTACAATTTCCCCCCTTTTCTTTAACCCTCTACCACATGAAGGAATAGCCCCTGCCAATGGCTAGTTGAGGGCAAGTGCCCTACCTTAGTCCTCTGGCCCCATACCCAGTTTGAGCCATAAGTATCTGCAACATAACATTCCTAGTATGACTAGACTAACAACATTAAGTATAATGCTAGAGACTAGACAAAATTCTCATATTTATTAATGGTCATCTGCCATGTTTGATATCTCTGGACAATTAAGTTCAACATGCAGCACATATCTACAAAAATGATTTTTACACTGTCATGTGAGAAAAAAGTCCACTGAACATTGCATCATCATATAGTCATACCTGACACCTTCACGCTGAAACGGCATAAGCTTTGACTCAACATCAGTTGGAATCTTGCCATACAAATCTTCCAAAAAAAGTGAAGTTAGCATCTAAAGAAAATACTAGGAAAAGGCAAGGCATTGAAGTTTCAAAGCCTAACACCAAGGAAAATATAAAGTAAAGTTTGCACTCAATTGCATAGTTTACACTATAGTATTGCATACAGAATTATTTAGGTTCTCCAACACATTTAATATAAACTCCAAGTAGATTAGTGGAGAGAACAGAAAGAAACAGTGCATAACCAACACTTTTGTATTAGGCACATGCACAATTGGGTTGTTTTCCAACAGTATTAGTACAAAGTGAAGAACAATTTTATAAGCATGATTTGGAATTTCCAAAGCTATTTCAATTTTATTCACCTCGAAGATCTCCGGCATATAAAGAAGCAGTTAGTGCGCGCTTAACCAGCGGATCCAGTTTTTGGACCTGCTAGGAAAGTACAAGGTATGGCCAGAATGAATATCTTTAGAAGTTCAAAACTAGATTTTGCTCCATATCAACAACAATAATAAAGTAAAGGAAAGGTAGCAAACTAGCAAATTTACTTCAGTCATATTAAACTTTTTTGGTCACCGTTATTAGTGACCATCAACTGCAAAATATAGAGTAACCATGGGTCAACAGGAATACAGGGTATTGCTGAACCATCTATAGACTGTCAGATAGGCATTCCCTGAAAGATTAGAAAGGTTTCGATGATATAGTGGACCGCACATTAAAGCCTATGCCTTGAGTCTGTTTACTTCTTGTTTGCATAAACTGAAAATGCAAGCTTTCAAACTTCCTTGTGGAAAGAAAAATAAAAATAGTAGCCATGTACGCAATGAACAGAAAAGTCATAAAAGTCACTGTCCAACTTCATCATCTATGTTCTGAATTGTTTAAGCATTACAGAGGATTTGTTAACAGTCATATAAGAATTTCTAATATTTGAAAATTTTCAAAATAGAAAACTAAAAAACAATCCTACTAATAATGCTAAGCTAACTAGAAGCAGCCCAGGTCAACCAACTAAAACAGGAGGAAGTAAAATAAATTAATCAAAACAACAGGAGGTGAGAGGTCATTACAACAAACAGTAAGTCGGTTTTATGAAGTACAAAATAACTGTTACCTCAACAGCTATTCCAGGTACTGTACTAAGAACTTCCTCTGCTACTGATAATGATGAGTGTGGGAACATCCATACCCTATAGTTTTCAAGAAAAAGGTAAAATAGAATCAGGAATAAGCTGCAATTTTTACAGGAGGTATCAAGCTTGATAAATGATCCTATGCTCCTAAAACAGTATTATTAGTTGCATATCAGGCTCCCGATGTGTTTACAGAGTTGCATTTTTTTTTGAGAGCATAAAAGCACTACAAGTTGAGCTTTGATAGGCCATAGAAAAATCTTGTAAATTTGTCAGGTAGAAGATTAATGAAAACCTCTCCTTCCCGTTCCAGCTGGCTTTGGGGATCTTGTGAACTGCATCCACAAGTTTCTGGGAAAGGAACAGAGGAGTCAAATATATGGATCACAATATAATACAGTAACAACTGATTAAAGATTTCATTGGGGAGAATTGTACCTGGTGGTACTGGAACTTCGCTGCGATCACACCAGTAGAATGAAGGAAAAGATGTACTGATACCTTAGACATATTGCCCTGACTATTATTAACTTAAATGACAAACAAAAAAGGAGATAAGCCACATGTCCAATTAGAATAAAAATAAAGCACCAAGAATGTCTTATACCTGCATTTCCCGATGCATTTGGTTGACTAAGCCGAGAAGGAGAAAGTGATTCTACCTAAGAAATATTATTCATTAGCATAATGGCAGTTAGTGATATAAAAAGAGATGAGTAAATATCAGTTTTGTCAAACAATTATGCAAACTCTATAATAAATGATGGTAAATAAAATAAAGTGAATAACACAGACATATACAGGGATGCTCTTGCACTATGGTATCATATATTCGTACCGATTTCAAGTGCTGGAGATTTGCACAATTACATTAGAATAATTAGAAGGGCAGTTGGTTTAAAACTGAAAGATTAAGCCAATTTGGAGATATGAAAACCCTTCTCAACTGCTGTCCTTACTCCGGATAAATTGGGTGCCTCTTTTAGAGTCTGTGTTTACCAATCTATGAGTACATGGGTAAGTAAAAATCAACTCTTTGGAAAGGCATAAACATATTGAAGTTGCGCTAAACAACACTACTCAAGAATGAATAAAAAATCCACACAACACAGTGAGTAAGAGAATAATTCTTATTGACAGCCATAGCCAGTGAATTTAGCTAGAGATCACCAAAGCAAGCCCTGTCAACCATATGATCCCAAACTTTAAAGTGGCCACACACCCGTAATACATCAAATGCTAGATAGTTTTCAAGTACATCAAATGATGATGATGGAATCAAATGCCTTAAATTTTTCAAAATTAATACTGCAATGAAGGCTGTGTTCGTTTGGACGTTTTCCCAGCGCGCTACAGTGTTTTGCCCCCGCGCACGCTTTTCAAACTACTACACGGTGTACTTTTTTGCAAAAAGTTTCTATACAAAAGTTGCTTAAAAATCAAATTAATCCATTTTTGAAAAAAAAATTAGCTAATACTTAATTAATCACGTGTTAATGAACCGTTCCGTTTTCCGTGTTACTGTAGCGCGCTGGGAAAACGTCCAAACGAACACAGCCTTAGAAAATGGCCAGGATCATGGTCTTGTAACAGTAAATACTAAAATACACGCTCTGCCTGGTCGTATTCTCATGAGTTAACAAGAAACCCCTGATGGTGCTAATATTGTGCAGCTGCAATTTAACACACGGCCCACTAAGTTTAACAGATCGCTAGGAAACAGAACAGGCCCCATCACTTATTATCTTGGCACAAAATCCATGATTAATTCTTCTGCCAGAAACCACCAAATTTTTTTTTGGGTTTGTCAGGTGCAAAAAAGTTTTGGCTTTTGGTTTTCATACTGCAATGCAGGACATATAAAGAACTCAATGAAACAGCAACGCAGAGAAAAAAACTATTCTTGAAAGTTGAAACAGATAGCCGGTAACGCAAAGAACTCAACTGCAGAGCACAAGAAAATTCGTAAAATTACCACGGTATACAAACTCTGAGCTAAGGTCGTACTGCAATTCACACTGGCTATGGTTGTCAATAAGAATTTTATTCACTGGCTAAATTCTTGGACAAGAGCCCCATCCATTTGTTTGAACGAAAATTCACTATGACGAATTAGGTAAAAGAAATATAAGGAAATTGCCAGAACGAACACTACACATTTTTCACGAAATGTATTAAGATGAAAATATGCCAATTCGCAAGAAGATGCAACCCTCACTGACCCAAGTTTTTTTTTTAACAAAAGAAGGAAAAAAAAGAAAGAAAAGAAAAGAATAAGAAGAGAGAGAGGAGATGAGACCCTAACCTTGCCGAAGCAAGACTCCTGGGAAACCCTGGATGCCGGGTGGTGGTGGCTGTTCTTGACCGGCGAGTAGGCCGCGGAGGGGAGCGGCGAGGTGGCGGTGGAGGCGGCGGAGGAGGAGGCCTTGCGCTCGGCGAGCTTGCGGTAGGCGTCCCGCTCGAGCTGGTCGAGCTGCTCCGCGCTCAGCCCCCAGTCGTCGTCGTCGTCGTACCCGCCGCCCCATCCGCCGCCGAGACCCGCCATTCTTGGGCGGGGTTCCCTCCAAGGGGAGATCTTCTCTTCCCCCAAAAAATTGAGAGCGCGCGCGCGAGCCGGAGAGGGAATTTGTGGATTTTCGCTACTTGGAGAGTAGTATCCTCTTCTTCCTTGTACCCAACGGATCATGGGATTCAGGTGCAAAGCCTGCAAAAAGGTGAAAAAAGAAGAAGGTTTTTCTTTTTTTTTCTTTTTTTTTACTTTTGTATTTCATATACTGCGAAAGTAAAAAGAAAAAAGAATAAATGTCCACAATTTAGACATCCGCAAACGTCCACAGAATAAATGTTATTTTAAAAGGGGCTAATGAATGTTATTTGACGGAAACTACGATGACATTTTCGTCAGGTTGTAATTCATAGTAGAATCGAGCACTTGTCAGACAGAACCTAAAATTTCTCTCTTTTTGTACGCATGAAAATTTTCATCGCATACCATAGTCTCAAATTTCAAAAAAAAATTACGGTTGATTAATGATTATTGCTCCTCTCTTCTAAAATACTCCTTCCGTCCCATTGTAAGCACAAAGTTTTAATGTCTAACTTTAATCACCCGTTTTATTTAAAAAAACTAAAAAATATAAATCAAGCATAAAGTACTATTCATGTTTTATCATTAAATCACAATAAAAAATTAAATAAAATGAGCAATCAAAGTTAAACACGAAAACTTATGATTGCGATTAAAATGGGACGGAGAGAGTAATCCACTTATCATGGGACACTATTCACATTTGAACTTTAACCCTACTGTCATCTACAAAAGAAAATTATAAATTCTTAAATACTTATCATCGAACGCTATTCATATTTAAACTTTAACCACTCGTCTCTTTTACAACAGAAATTATAAATACTTGAAAAGATGTTATACTTATCAAATATCCTAAATATAAGAAGCATTGAGTTTTCGTTCATTTATATACAGTGCCGGTCAAGACTCAAGAGGGAACAAATATTTTGGAACGAAGGGAGTAAATATTTTGGAACAAAGGGAGGGAACAAATATTTTGGAACGAAGGGAGTAAATATTTTGGAACAAAGGGAGTAATAGTTTTGTTGTTCTGCAATTCATCGTCTTCTTAGCAGTATACCTACTTGTCATAGAACGGATCAAATTGGGAAAAGAAATGGTGTTACTGCTTCCAGAAATTGCATATAATGTTCTTTAGCAAAAGAAATTGCACTCGGCTGATTAATTTCATCCAACATTTGAAATAAAAGATAAATTCTTTTGAACAGCCACTGCTGAAACAGCCGATCTTGCTGGCCGTCGCCGGTGCATCAATGCATTAGCATGTACATTCGACTCTCAAATCTGGCTCCAAATATTACACACAAGGGCATACAAACAAAAGATACAAATCAGCTAAAGCACGAAAGAGAGGTTAGCTGCTACATCAATTATCTCAGGATGTCAGGATTCCCGATTACACACACCTCTCTGAAGAAAAGAAAGGTTATCGCTACTTCACCAGTAAGATGGGATAATTCTCAGAACCTATGTTACACCATGAATGATGATCACAGTTTGCAAAAACATCAGCAAAATAAAAATAAAGATGCTTATGAGAAGCTACAGGCAGGGGATTAGCATCATAGCTCACATCTTGATTTCACAATGGAACTCAATTTGTTACTGTATATGTATAAATGAACCAAAGAGGTAAAACACAATAGAGAATCAAAGCAACAATGTAGAATTTAGCCAAACCAGCTGTAACTAACTCATATCCACAAAATAAAGGGACGTACCTAACTAACAGAAAGGAACTGTGATTCTCAAATATGTAGACACCTTCAAAGAACATGTGAGAAATTGAGTAGCAGAACTTTTGTAGCTTCATGGTAGACAGCCTACACAATCATGAATTAAATTGCATCTAACGATTTTTAATTGCATCCAGCACCAATAAGAGTGAATTATCAAAATAAATAATCTGGCAATTTGTCTCAAGAAGCAATCCGATTCCACAATTAGTAAATTTAGATATACCGATAATGCAATAGAACTTTAAAACCAAATAACCATATGCAGCATGTAGGACCACCATAGACAGTAGAACATGTAGTACTTTAATCAGCAGTGCTGTCCACAACATTGCGTTGTCTATGAAGAAACTGTATGCAATTTTTTGTGAATATGCTTTCCTTGCCTCCAGATTTGATGCACAGAGCATCTTAGTTTCTACCATGCTAATCCAGGTCATTGACTAATGAGTGCATTGATTTTATTTGCAAAGCAATAGAAGGAATCATTGTAATTATCAAATACAGATCAAGAATGCCAACATATAATGAATGCAATGCAGAATGTGGAGCCAATATGTTCACTATTATTATCAATAAAATATTATTTGGTTCATAAGTGGGAAATTACTGTGGAGCATGGTAAGTTTCTGTGGTGCTGTTCTTAGTTCTTTACCCCCAAAAAGACTTGGTTATGGTCAAACGCAAGTCCAATTATCACCTGTTTCCGATAATTCCACTCTTGCTTTCTCATGCAGATAGACAAATACACTTTTTTTGTGTGCCATAACACTATGACCTCTAGCCAATATGACCATTCATAGTAAAATCTTCAAACCTAATCTAATTCATTTATAACTAAATATTTAAAAACACACAGAATGAAGAACAAGAAACAAGGTGAAATTACAATAATCTGTAATCCTCATAAATTAATTTGAAGTGTCCAACCCTTCTATCAGGATGCCTTACTGGCCGCCCCAAATATACCACTTAGAGACAACCATATACCTATCTTATAGGAAAGGAGGCAAGAAGTGAAAGCTAAATAATCATGTAAACAATTAGAAACATAAAATAAGCTAGTTCCAAGCCCAAACAAGTCAACAGTATTCTTTTATGGACGAAAATCTGCAAAAACACCTAAACATCTACCACTACGAATCATACCAAGAATCCTAAATGAGCATCAAGACAGGCCTTCACGCTCGGTCATTCAAGTCCCAGGCGCGGAGGACTTGAGCTCCTCAAGCGTAGCCTTCACCTGGTCCTGCAGCAGCTCGATCCGTTTCAAGTATACCTCCAGCTCCAATATACGCTGCTTCCTCCATTTCTCCCCTTCCATGGGCAAACCATGTGGCGGCTCGGACAGTTGTGCACCGAACGGGTTTGATTCGATATTTATCACTGCACGTACCATCTCCTTAAACAGAGGCGTCAAGCAACTCTTGTCGGCATCTAAAACAGCCGGCTGAGGTGGCATGACCGGCAATCTGAGGGGTTCCGAGCCCTCCATTGTCACTGTAATTGGCATTGTGGTCTGCGACAACGCAGGAAGCGTGTCATCCATCTTGACGGGCACCGAAACCGGCACCTGCACCGGCTGAATGGGCTGCACCATGTTGGTGGTGGCCGGAGCAGCGGCAGGCGCGGTGGCGGCAAAATCTCCGCCACGCCTGCGACGCCGCTGCCGCCCTGAGGTTGGGGACTTGACCTCACCATTGGGGCTGGTGTTCACGGGAACGGGCGCTGGGGTGACCTGCGTGGCGTCCTCGTCGTCGGAGTCGCCGTCCCGGCCGTGCTTGTTGGTGGGGCGCCAGATGTTGCGCGCGATCTCGAAGATGGCCTGCTCGTGCGGCGAGCGGAAGGAGAAGGCGCTGCCGGATCCCCGGAGGCGGGAGACGCAGTTGCGGTACTTGCGCTTGAGGCGGCGGAGCTTCTCGACGAGCTGGCTCTTGGAGAAGCCGAGCTGGAGGCGGCCGCGCATGTCCTCGTAGAAGGGGTCGGTGTCGTACTGGTGCGACGCGAACGCCGTGCCGCGCGCCGCGGTGAACTCCGCGAACCCGCGGAGGATCACGATCTCGTCCTCCTCCGTCCACAGCCGCTGGAACAGCGGCCTCCTCTCGCCGCCGCCGGAGGAGGAGCCGACGCCTCCCACGCTCCCGCTCCCGCCCCCCGCAGAGGCTGGAGTAGCCATGGCGGCGGCGGCGGCGGAGGAGGAGGCCGGGTTGGGGAAGGTGGGGTCGGAGGGGTCGATGAGGGGGGCGTCGGTGAAGTCGCCGTCGTCGGAGTCGTCATCCACGTCGGCGTCGGGGAAGGAGATGGCGGCGGCCGACGGGTAGCCGCCGGCGGGGAGCATTTGGAATTGGATCGAGGCGGAAATGGGATTAGGGTTCCTCGCTTGCGGGATTTGAGGAGGGGGAATTGAATTGAATTTGCTCGCGTTTCGCCATTTTGGGGGGTCGTCGCAAATCTTCAGTTCAGTTCGGTTCGGTTCAGAGCTACTCCCTACATTTTAAAATGTTTGACACCATTAACTTTTTTAGTGTGTTCGACCATTCGTCTTATTAAAAAAATTTAAGTAATTATTTATTATTTTCATATCATTTGATTCATTGTTAAATAAACTTTGATGTACACATATAATTTTACATATTTCACAATTTTATTTTAATAAGACGAACGGTCAAATATGTGCTAAAAAGTCAACGGTATCAAACATTTTGAAACGGAGGGAGTATTATTTGCAGGGGCTTTTAACTATTTGCCACTTTTAGATTTGACAAATAACTATTTGCCACCCCTATCTCAATGACATGTGGGTCCACATGTGTCTATGACATGTGGGTCCAGTGGTATGTTTGTCCTACTGTTTAAAGTCCGACATGGCCTTCCCGTTCCGAAATTCGTTTGTTTTCTATTTCAGCGTCGTCCACCTTTTTCCTTCATCGTTGATTGGAAAAAAAATTATACTTCCTCCGTTTCAAAATGTTTGATACCATTGACTTTTTAGCATATGTTTGACCGTTCGTCTTATTAAAAAAATTTGTGAAATATGCAAAACTATATGTGTACATGAAAGTATATTTAACAATGAATTAAATGATATGAAAAGAATAAATAATTACTTGAATTTTTTGAATAAGACGAATGATCAAACACGTACTAAAAAGTCAACGGTGTCAAATATTTTGAACGGAGGAAGTAGCTTTGTAGCACGTTAAATTGGATTGAGCTGATTTTATTGCTCTACTAGTACTAAATTGAAATATGTTAAACATAGTGATTTGGTAAAATTATAAGGGGAAATGTTAAATATAGGGATATATAAGCAGGTATAGAATGCTCGGAGCATCTCCAATAGAGTACCTAACTAAGCCCCCGAATAGTTATTGAGGTGAAGGGAGAAAATCGAGGTTCAGTAGGAAGACAACACAAATCATCTCCCCAGCCTCCAACCGTAGGAGCTCTACACCCAACCGCATCTCTTTTTGTGTGTGTGTGTGAAAAATTCCCAGCGCGATCCTCTCATTGTTCTCACGCCCTCACTATGTCGCTGTTTGGGTTGTGAATGAAGTTCAAGTCATTTTTTGGGTTCTCAAAAGATAGAGGCATTCCTCATTAGACTTTTAGTAGCTTTACAATAGGGTTATGGGCTATTGTTGAAAACTTGGTGTGGTAGTGTGCCAATAAGTTTCGTTATACTTTTGATACTTTCATTATCTTTGTTTTATACCGTTGGCAAGCATCCAATTTGAATAAATGCTATTGTATAGGTGATTTTGTCCAAAATATAATTGTCGTTAGGGTTCCGTCCATCCTGTATCGTTAAAATGCACTATTTATCCTATACTTAAGAGAAGGCTGCTAACAGAACTGTAATGATAATGTTATTTCTAAACCAAAATTAAATATATGATAATATTTCATGAAACTCACATTTGCGATAGCATTTATTACAATCGAGTGCTTGTCAGTGATATGGAGGATATGTGCAAAACCATTTTAAACTAATTTTTCTCTTAAATTATTTATCCAAATCATGATCCGATTACACCATTAAATTCGTTGCAATTAAATCTTCAAAATAAGACCACACATAGATATATTCCGACGAAAAAAAATTAGCTTATTATTGATTTTTTTAAAAAAAATATTGCACGATGTTCCACCATGTATATCGGAATCACTAAGTAGATCAAAAATGTTTCAGTTGTTTAAATCGGGCGTTGTTTCACCTTATATAAAAACAATGTTTCAGCAAATAGCGAAAGAATGTTTCAGTTCACTGCAACATTTGATCCATATATAGTGAAACATTATAAGTACACTAGGTGAAACATTTTTTGTGGTAAAAAAATAAAACGAATTCCTTAATAGAGGGTTTCCAAAATATGTGGGTGATTTATTGCAATGGAGTATTTTAGTTCACTGCAACATTAGATCTACATAGTGAAACATTGTGAATGCACTAGTGAAACATTTTTTGTGGAACAAAAATAAACCAAATTCCTATAATAGAGAGTTTCCAAAATATGTGGGTGATTTATTGCAATGGTAGGTGGGAGCAGATCAATGTGGTGGGGTCAGGCACCTGCATGCAAGCGCGTGGGGAGAGGGGCGCGTGGGTGGGGGGGGGGGAGAGCCCGATCGGCTCCACCCCCGTTGGACGCCCGGGCTGCAACATTATTCCAGTGATATTTTTAGATTTTTCCTTAAGTTCACGATAATATAGACTAAACATGCAATACAGTTTTTTACATGTGGAGTTGATAAACATTTTTGCGTTGATATAATAACGGCTCTAATATTTCAACATTATTAGTACTGTCTAAGCATCTTTTTTTTAATGGTCAATATAGACGTTTAGTGTCTTCGTACATTGTTTTAGGAATCGAATAATCGATCTGTTCTTCTATACAGAACATTTTTCATGCAAAAAATATGAATTGCACTTTGGGTCACTTTTTCCCTTACTTCGGGTCTTATCGACGTTTGAGATCACGACCACGGTATTTAGATGGTATAGGGATCATCGGTACCAGGGTATATGTGAGATTGAGGTATGCGAGATTGAGGTAAAAGAGATGGAGACAGTGATTTTTATATAGGTTGCCCCTTATCTGACAGGTAATAGCCCTACATCCTGTTGGCCGAAACCGGTGTTGCTATTATTCATCTGAAACACACAAATACAATATTTGGGATAACCTATCTAGCTATCATCGACTTGGCGGCATAGATAACTACCTCGTAGTCGACGACAGGGGTAGTCTTCCTCCTTGAATATGAACTCGTCGAGATCAGAGATTGCGCTAGATATCTCTTGCCGGCTTCCGTAGGCACTAGATGGGGTATGTCTAGGCTAATATCTAATGTCGATATTTGGCGGCGTGTGTCTTGTTGGTCTTGTAACTTGTCCCCTCTCCTCCTAGGGGGCTTGTATTTATACCCATAGGTGCCCCTTATCTAAGTAGAACTAGGGAGATCAATATGGATGCAATCCAAGTAGTCATTGTCGTTTTTATATAGAACTCTATTTATCCTTCCTTATCCAAAACACATTCTATATACGAGGTATAATTCCGTATAAGACTTAGTATGTGGTAGGTCCCGCCGTGCTTAGCCGATTACTATTGGGTATGTGGTATCCATAACCCTGACAGGTCTTGTTTTACTTTCTTTTCCAAAATGTTTCAATTTGGCATATTTCTTTTATTTAGCTCCCACCTTTCCTCTCATTGCTTGAGTAGGTCTAGCAATCAGGTATTGACATCCCAACCCAATCGAGCGTACGCCGATAGCACCATTGGACTTGAGGAGGCCTTCGAGAGCGGTATTGCGCGGATGGCATACTTAAGCAAGTTGAAGCTTATGACATACAATAGAGATACATCTACAAAGTGCCCAATAGTCAACTTGACATCTATCGCATTAGCTTTGTCTCTGTCGTTTCCACATCCTTTGTTGCATTTTCTTGAGCTTCGTAGCACCCGCCACTACGTGGTCGAGCCTGTTTGCTAAGAAAATCCAATATCCACATCCCAGCATCGACACCAATGCATGTAGATCTCAAGCATGGACAACACCGAGAGCAGTTGAGCTTAGTCTCCTCCATTGCTACGAGCGTATTTGTTGTAAGGTGGGGAGGGTTGAGATTTTGACGTGCTTTCTCTGGTAGAGATGAAGAGAGAGGGGATAAACCGAAGATAAACATAGTTATAAAGTGAAATGTTTTTGAAGAAAAAGGCCTGATTTAGAGTGAAAAAGTTGGTTTACCCATGTCCAAGGCGGAAGAGCGGTAAAAAGAGCAATTTACTCCTTTTTTTTTACAAATTATTAAAACGGTGAAATTATATTATAAAGGTCTACAGTCTCCGGCCTCATTAGCCCAGGGCCCAGCCCAAGTCCTACAGTCTCCGTCCTACAGCATAACTCTCATGGGCCCACGGCTCAGCCCAACTCAATCACCACCTCCCCCATCGCACCATCTCGCACCCACTAAACCCTTCCCCCTTAAAACGCCTCTTCTTCTTCCCCTCGCCGCCGCAAAAACCCTAAAATCCCCTCCCCCCAACCCGCCGCCATGTCCTCCCCGCCGCCGGCCGCCGCCGCCTCCCCCTCCTCCGAGCTAACCAAGTCCAAGAAGAAGAAGATCAAGTCCAAGGACGCCGCCACCGCCGCCGCCGTCGACCCGCCGTCCCTCGCCGAGGCGGAGGCGAAGACCGACGGCTACCTCATCAAGCCGCAGTCGCTGGTCCCCTCCCTCGACACCTCGACATGGCCGCTCCTCCTCAAGAACTACGACCGCCTCAACGTCCGCACCGGCCACTACACCCCGCTCCCCTCCGGCCACTCGCCGCTCAAGCGCCCCATCGCCGAGTACCTCCGCTACGGCGTCATCAACCTCGACAAGCCCTCCAACCCCTCCTCGCACGAGGTCGTCGCCTGGATCAAGCGCCTCCTCCGCGTCGACAAGACCGGCCACAGCGGCACGCTCGACCCCAAGGTCACCGGCAACCTCATCGTCTGCGTCGACCGCGCCACCCGCCTCGTCAAGTCGCAGCAGGGCGCCGGCAAGGAGTACGTCTGCGTCGCGCGCTTCCACGCCGCAGTCCCCGACACCGCCCGCGTCGCCCGCGCGCTCGAGGCTCTCACCGGCGCCGTGTTCCAGCGGCCCCCGCTCATCTCCGCCGTCAAGCGCCAGCTCAGGGTGAGGACCATCTACGAGAGCAAGCTGCTCGAGCACGACGCCGACCGGCACCTCGCCGTGTTCTGGATCTCCTGCGAGGCCGGGACCTATGTCAGGACGCTCTGCGTCCACCTTGGCCTGCTGCTCGGCGTCGGCGCGCATATGCAGGAGCTGCGCCGCGTGCGATCGGGGATCCTCGGGGAGCAGGATAACATGGTCACGATGCACGATGTCATGGACGCGAGGTGGGCGATGGACAACTACAACGATGAGACTTACTTGCGGCGCATCGTGATGCCTCTCGAGGTATTGCTTACTAGCTACAAGAGGCTTGTTGTTAAGGACTCTGCTGTCAATGCTATATGCTATGGTGCTAAGCTTATGATACCCGGGTTGCTCCGGTTTGAAAATGATATCGATGTCGGGGAGGAGGTGGTTCTCATGACCACTAAAGGAGAGGCCATTGCTATTGGTATTGCCGAGATGACCACCGCTGTTATGGCGACTTGTGACCATGGTGCAGTCGCAAAGATTAAGAGGGTGGTGATGGATAGAGACACGTATCCGAGGAAGTGGGGGCTTGGTCCGGTTGCGCTCAAGAAGAAAAAGATGGTCGCAGAGGGTTTACTGGATAAGCATGGGAAGCCAAATGAGAAGACCCCAGCTGAGTGGATCCGGAATGTGGCACTTCCTACTGGTGGTGATGCGATGATCGCTAGCATTGCAGCTGCTCCTGAAGAGGCCAAGGTGAAGGCGGAACAGGATGTGGTTGCGACTGAAGAGGTCAAGGAGAAGAAAAAGAAGAAGAAGCACAAGGATGAGGAGGATGCTGCCGACGAAGGCCGCAAGAGGAAGATTGAGGATGATGACGCGTCTGCTTCTGTGCCTGTAAAGAAGATCAAGGTTGAAGAGAGTGCTGAGGAGGTAGAAGGGGAGAAGAGTGAGAAGAAGAAGAAGAAGAAGAAAGACAAGGGTGAACAAGGATCAGGTGATGCAGAGGTGAAGGAAGAGAAGGCTGATATATCTGATGGGGAGAAGGTTGGCAGTGAGAAGAAAAAGAAAAAGAAGAAGAGCAAGGAAGGAGGTGATGTTGTGGATCCAGAGAGCGCAGCCAATGGAGATGGCGTGGAAGCTGAGAAAAGCGAAAAGAAAAAGGAGAAGAAAAAGAAGAAGAGTCGAGATACAGAGGAGGCATAATAGGTAGAATTATAGTACGCATTGGCTGAATGTATCCTTTTGCTGCGGTTGTAGGGAGTTTGAGATGCCTATCTTTCCTTGCTGTGATCCCTTTTCAACCATTAATGGTTTCAAAGGCCTAATGCCCATCCTTGAATTACTACCATTTTACTGCTGTGAAGTACTGTGGTAAGTAGCGATATTTCCATTGAACTTGTTGAACAATGAGCCATGTATTGCTGTTCCTGTTTTCAGTTAATGCAATGAGTTTTGCTTACACCTCACAGTAATGCAATGGGTCATGTTTACTGTATCTTTATGATATAGGCGGCCATACCATTATGTGATCCATTCGTTGATGTTCTTGACTGTTTAATAGTAGGTAGTGGGTAGCAATTCTTAGTTGAAATTGTTAAATTTCTGTTTCCCTGTAGGCAGGAGTTTACTTCTTAGACCCCTGATGCTCTGAATAAACTTAACACATACTTTGCCTTAAAACCCAAGGCAAACAATTGGTCCATAGCGTCTTGTGTTTTTCTTTGCTAGAAGTCTTAGATGATCTGATCATGGTATTGTGGTATTTGTTGACAAGCCACAACTCTCTGAATGCTATATCTTTCTTCCCCTGAAACACCCGACACATAATTCAGTTAGTGCAGTGAGTTTTGCTTACACCTTACATTGGTCTACTGTTTGATATTGGTGACCAAATGACTATCAATCATTCAATCAGCCAATGTTCTTGACACTTGAATACTCCTAGGTAGCGATTCTTAGTTAAATTGGTATATTTCTATTTCCTTGCAAGCGGGAGTTTTATTTCTGAGATAATGATGCTCTTAAGTCTGGATGAACAACGCAGGCCATTGGTCCAAAGTGTCTTGTGTATTTTTTCTGCTGGAAGACTAGATGACCTTATTATGGTGTTATTTGTATATGCTGGCTGCCGTTATTCCGTACTTTTGGCAAAATCTATGAAACTTACAAGCCTCAAATCCTTGGCTCCTACTCCTCTACTCCCTCTGTCTCATAATATAAGGGATTTTGAGTTGTTGCTTGCAACGTTTGACCGCTCGTCTTATTCAATTTTTTTTAAAATTATTATTTATTTTATTTGTAACTAACTTTATTATCCACGGTACTTTAAGCACAACTTTTCGTTTTTTATATTTGCAAAAAAAATTTGAATAAGACGAGTGGACAAACGTTACAAACAAAAACTCAAAATACCTTATATTGTAGGACGGAGGGAGTATTTTTTTTCCTCAGTTGCATCGGGGAACAGTAAAAGCATCGGATTGATGCTCAGTTCTTTTGTTAGTTTATTTCTCTTGTTATTCTAGTGCTGGAGGTTCTGTTCCTCTTTCTTGCCAAATGAACCGCTTTTCTACAATATACTGCATATCTGAAATTACGATTTTTTTTTGCTGCATATCTGAATGTGATGGATGAATTGCATGTTTCTGATACCGCTACTATCGCCTCGTTGTAGATTTGTGCATGCACGTTCTACATGTAGGTTGGTGTAGTCTCTTTTTTCAGGAGACTGACAAAATTTGACAGCACAAAAGGCCTCACATGAGTTCAGGTCCATGGACCATGGTTGTCTCGAGCTAGTGGACGGACGGAGCCCATCTCCAGCCCAGGACGCGCGCACCGGCCCTGCGGCCCATTCTGCAAGCCTGCAATGACTGTCTCTCACTCCGTCTGTTTTAAAATATAAGGATTTTTAGATTCAAAATTTGTAAGACAACATTTTCTTCGCCTACTTCATTATCTCATCTAGTCACAATCATCTCTTAATTAATTTCTTCACCTACTATTCAAAACAACTTCTCTACTATTCAAAACAACTTCTCATCTTAACTTTAGTTTATGCTAAAACGAGTAGAAATACTTATATTTTGAAACGGGCAGTAGTCTTGGATTTCCACAGTTGCTACGGTGCTATGCAACGTAGTAGCTACCAGTACACAGCACATGGCACGGTGCCAGTGTGTAAGCTGGCATGGCATGCTGTGTGGCAGTGTGGGGGGACCTGTCAGCCGCTGTCATCATCAATTCAATTCATCGCCTCTTCAAATTGATGAAAGAATAGAGAAGCAATAATACAGTGAAATGTAAATGGATAAATATTACATACAAAAAAATCTAGATAGTGACTGCCCACCCACTAGAAACATGAAAAATGGCCACCATTTGATTGGTCACATCCGCTTGAAATTCGCAACCCTCGACCACATTCACAGGACATTGAATTCATTTGTCAAACGATTCTTAAATTACTCTTTGAGCAGATGGCTAACAAGGAGCAATTAATTAATTAATTAATTAATATTCAAAGTACAGGGACGAGAAGGTGCAGAAGATAAACTGGAGAAGGTACCCCGGAAGAACAGGGAGAAAACAATTGTTGTAACAGAAGAGGGACCTAAGCACAAACACCAAAACAGATGTACAGCATACACAACACCACAGCGAGCACCATCCGTCCAAAGAACCAGAAAATCACAGCTTTGACAACTGCCGCTTACACCAGGCACAACCAATCACAGGCTCCGGATCACCAATTCACCATCACCTGATAATAAGAAAATCAGAAAAAGATAAGTTAGTCAGTCACTTTCTGAACCTCGATCAGGCGACTTAATTATTAGCTAAATTGTTGAAACACCTCAGCAAAAACAGATCAGAGAACAGTAGGCGAGATGTTCCTTTCCTTCTTTCTGTTGTTAATGGTACTAGTAGTAACCTAATATCTACTACTCCACGGACACTTGTTCAGCAATTTTTATCTTTTTTTTTCCTGAAACACCGACACAAAATTTTGTGTACTCAAACTCTCCAAGTTCTTGAAGATGCATGCAGAGCCATGCTTACCTTGGAAGGGTAGTAATTCTCCTCCTACTTGGTGATGACCCAGACAGCGTAGATGATGCCGGGGAGGTAGCCGAAGAAGGTGAGCAGCAAGCAGATCCAGAACTCAATCTGCAAATCAATCACCACAGACGATTAACTACACATAGTGACAGGAGGAGGAGACATGCTGCATGGAAAGATCAAAGTAGTCCCAGTGCAAAAACTGTAGATAACGGCGGCTTACCCCGCAGCCGAACTTGAAGAAGACGCCGAGCGGCGGCAGGATGATGGCGAGGATGATGTCGATGCAGGTCGCCGTGCTGTCCGCCATTCTTCTGCTTGTTCCCAGCTAACAACGATGCACAATTGCACAAACAAGAAGAAGAAGAAAAATCAAAGACTGAGCTCCAAGCTGAGACGAAGAGAGAGGAGTCAAGAGAGCTGATGCGATGCAGGTAAACTCACCAGCGACGCATTAGCCGTATATAAAGACGAGCGGATCGTCCGTCACGTGCCCTGCTCGTGCGGAGTCTCCCTGGTCGGTCGAGGAATCCGGGGACACGTGCCCCTCGCCCATTGGCTCCGGCTGCCAGCGCAGTGCTGCTGTTTTTTTTTTTTCATTTTTCTTTGAAAAGAAATCATGTTTCAGCTTTTCATCTCCAGCTTCCGTGCCGACTTTCCTGCTGCATGCACGGATCCTCATTCAAAATCTCTCAAACTTTTGTTAAACAGGGCTGTTAATTTGATTGCTTGAAGATGAAGGTTAGGATCGAATAATCCAGCTTGAATTATACCCCGATCCGTTAGCTGCATTCACATGCAATTCCCTTTCTGATGAAAACCTCACCATTTTGGGATGTATACTTGTGCTTGTAACAGAATTGATATGCTTGTCTTGGAAAACAGTGCATTTGGGGATATAGTAGAGTTGTGTTTGCCTTGGAAAATATAACTGCATTTCCCATAAACTACGGCCCTGATAGCTGATTAGTAAAGTACTGACCCAGTTCAGTGCTACGTGGAAGCAGATCCACCAAATACTGGATGCCCTGGGGAAGTCAACTTATTAGTAGCAGGATAAGCCAGCTAGGCGATCCTTCAAACCCTGCTGGAAAAACAATCATTTTCAGTTTGCTGGAAAAACAATCATTTTCAGTTCGCTTTTGAAGAGAGTAACCATAGTAGGGGATATCATCAAGCACCTAATGGAGAAACAAAATATTACGACTAGTAATGTACAAATGCTAGGATGGTTATACTAATCCTAGCTGCAGACTGCTGCAGTATCTTCTGATTTGGTTGTTGGGGGCACAACCTTTTGGTTGCATTAGGCCTTATTTATGTGCTTAGTGCGATCAAGTAGGACCCCCTTGGCTTCTTGAATGATCTGAATGGATCAACCGTACGTGAGCCTGATTAAAGAGGCGTACCGAACCGATTCTTCTTACCTATCTCCTTTGATGCCTTTCTTCTAGAGAATCATGACAAGTAAAGCTTGCATTATGGCGAGGTTCCGATCTGATGGAATTGAAACAACTAAGCGATCTAAAAAAGGCTTTTTATTCGATCCATTTGCCCGGAGACTTTAGCAATGTTCTTGTGGATCTAGAGGACGGTTGGATGACTAAAGTAAAAGAAATGCACACCTGGAACAACATTTGCCTTCCATTTGTTGATTCTTTTTACATGTTCTACGACCTCAAAATGTACGATATCAGGATTAAAGAATGTTGCTCTTAATTGTCGGCATCATTCTATATTGTTTAGGTGTGACGACTGACATTTATATATCTGATGATTTGCAGGTAAGTTCTGGCCCGTTACCATGATCAGTTTAGCATGACTGACCAGACAATTTAACCAGTAGGATCAAATCAACAAATAAAATCTTCCTAAAAAAATCAACAAATAAAGGAGCAATTAACGTATACAAAGTATATCTCGCTAGACGTTTTAATGCTATGGTACTCACCATATGTGTCGGTACCCTTTACAATGAAATTGCCCATCATCGGCATGCCCATGATTGGACAGAACCCCCCCCCCCCCCCCTCCTTGCTGAAACTGAGCTCTCGGACAACACTGTGCTGTGCAGTAGCCTACAAAACGATCGAGCTGATGAATCATGAGATCAAGCAAACCTCCAAAACTGTCTCTTACAGCAACTAATAATCCCTGGTGGGTGGTACTAGTAGCAAAGCAATTCATTAGTGCAGAAATTCAAACAGTGTCGGTGGCTGCAGCATGAAGAGAGGGCGTGGGTCGGTAGCTCATTCTCAGGACGACCTTATCTGCCCACATGGAGAGGTGTGCCATTTAAGCTCCGAACTCCAAAGCCTTGCACAGTGGTACAGGCATTTGCCAATTTTCTGCGTCAGGCAGCTAGTAACAGGTGGAGTCAAAGTATTAACTAGGAATTGTTGTCAAAATTTTGGATTGTGAGATGTATAGAGCAAGGCTCCACATGTGCAGGGTACATTGTATGCTCCGGTATCTGCAGGCTGCAGCTGGCCAACGGCCGACCGCCCGAGTAACGGCTACATGAAGCTGTAGCAACATGTGAACTTAAGTGGAGCTAATTATTGGTCTGCGGATCTATTGGAATTAATATGGTTTAGAAGCTAGTAATTGCTAAAGAATTTCAAAGTGTGTGGATGAAGAAAGTTACCACTGCAGCAGGGCAGGTGGTCCAAATGACACCGGATCTTCAGAGCTGTCGAACAGATGTGACCCGCATTAGATAAGGATGCCCTTCTTCCTTTGCTTTCTTCAAGCTTGAAAGTGAATCTATACCTCCAGGCTAAAAACAAGTAAACAAACCAAGAGTAAGAACCAAGAGTCATTAAGAGAGAAATGAAGTCATAACCAAGGAGATGAAGGTCACATGAGCTCCTCTTCAACAATGACACCAGAAAACTCAATGCACCAGTTATATTTGATAATATCCATCAAGTAATTATGTTTCTGCTTTAAATGGAAAAGTAACGATGTTTCTATAGCCGCGGATGGGAATTTAAGCCTACCAAATCAGATTTACTTGAATCATCATCGGTACGCGTACAGCCTTGTTACAGTCTGCAGATTCTTATCTTGTCGAATTGTCAATTCTAGGAAACATATTTGGTCCAAGAAAAGCTGTAAGAATGTAGGCCACGTTGTCTTCTGCACATACTTCAGATAGCAGCAACATGTAGGATAGGCAGGATATCTCCATTATCCACTATATGATGTATACATGCCGTGAGCCCACTGTCTTGTTCTAGCTTAATGATTTAATTGATTAAATTGCCCTTGTGTATTGCATCTGATGCATCAGCTGTGAAATCTAGATGCTTTACTGACTCTACTTTTAGTTCTCTTTCTGCTTTTGGTATCCATTGATTGCGAAGTGTTGCTGTATATGATGGCAACAGGTGAACTGATCCACAATAAGCCAAATCTTTGTAGCATGTCCAACATGAATAACTCGGTACTCCCTCTGTCCTATTTTAAGTGCAGTTGTGATTTTCCGTGTCAAATGTTTGACCGTCTGTCTTATTTGAAAATTTTAACAAAAATGAATCATGCATAAAGTACTATTCATGTTTTATCATCTAATAATAATAAAAAATTTAAAATAAGACGGATGGTCAAACGTTGGACACGGAAACTCATGGCTACACTTAAAATAGGACGGAGGTAGTATTACTTTCAGAGTCATTAACAGATTGGAGATCAAACCTTGCACCAAGTTATTGCTGTTTGTTCAGAACTATATTAGAAAAAAATGTTGTCTGGGGGTGAGGTTGAAAAGAACTTCAGAGAAGCAGAAAATAAAAGAAAACTAACATATGACTGGTGGAATCCTGGAAATTACCTTGACGCTGCAGTATCCTTTTCCCTTGATTAAATAATTAATCATCCCTTGGAGTGTATTCTTGATAAAGTATGTCCTTGGCTAGTGAACAAATACCAGTATCTCCTGATCACACCAAGGAAAATGTGTCAACCTTCAGAGAGAGTTCTGTATTAAAACAAAGTGAGCAAAAAGAAAAAAAAAATCAAGTGTTACCAAAAGACATATATGAAACCCTTTTTTTTATCAGACATAATTATGCGCCAGCTAGGCACTCTACTGTGACATGACCCTAACCAAATAGGTCTTTTTTTTTTCAGTAAATAGCTACCTTTATCAAAAAAAGTACAAGGGTGTCCTGTGCACATTGCAGGCATGCATATAGCAGAATTGTGTAATATCTCAACAGCCAATGCACCAAACATAAGTACAGTACACTGAACATCACAAGATACACTTTACTCACCTATACCCAAAAAAGTCTTCATTTCCTCTAGAGAAAATGTCCTAAAAGCATGTTGAAAACGGTTTGCTTTTCTCTGATTCTTAACAGTTCCCATTCTCCTAGGTCTGTTACCAATTATCAAGCTGCACTTTTCAATCGCATTTTTAGTTTGATGATCTAACAAATAACAAAAGGTTCTTGTCTTTTTATACAGACTTGTGCACTCATTGTTTAACTTTTAGGTCAAGCTATTTCCTGTTTCCTTCTTCAAATTTCTCTCTTGTATCATAGTTCTTATCCTTGTCACATCAGACCACATTCCAGCATCGGCGTAGATATTAGAAAGCAGAATATGATAGCCAGGATCATTGGGATTTTGCTCAAATATTCTTTTCCCAACCAGCTCAGCAATGTCCATTCTATTATGCACTCTACATGCTGCCAAGAGCCCTCCAAGGACATCGATTTCTGGCTCTTCTGCCATATTTGACATGAAACACCAAGCCTCATCAAGCTTCCCACATCTGCTGTAGAGATCAACAATGCATGAGTAGTGTTCCTTCTCTGGAGAAATATTGTAGTCATGTAACATGGAATGATATAAGTGCAAACCCTTGTCAATGAGACCAGCATGGCTACAACAAGATAGTAGTGCCACAAAAGTCACTTTATCTGGAGCAATTCCATCTCTCTTCATTAGATCGAAAAATGATAGGGCTTGATCTTCATGGTTATGCTTTCCAAAAGAAGAAATCAGTATGTTATATGTAACTGTATTGCGTTCTGTCATCAGTTGAAAAACCTCTTTAGCTACTTCTAGGAAACCACACTTGCAATACATATCTAGAAGTGCATTATTGACTGAGCAGACTGAGTTAATACAATACTTGATCACATATGCATGTAGTTCCTTACCCTGGATGAGCATATGGTGTTGATTGCATAAAGGAAGAACTGAAACAACAGTCACATGATCAGGTTTTAAACCCACTTTCTGTAATAACCTCAATGCGCAGAATGCAGAGTCTGAATATCCATTCACAGCATATCCTGCAACCATTGAGTTCCAAATGGCTAGATCTTTGTCCAGCGTAAGCCAAAATATAGTTTCTGCCACCCTTATCAACCCCTGTTTGCTGTACAAGTCTATAAGTGCGCTCACTACAAACTCACTTCTCTCAAGTCCATGTCTTATAGAGAAGCAATGAATTTCTTTTCCACTCCTGATTAACTTCAGCACAGAAAGACAAGGAAGTATGCTTGCCAGAGTACTAGAGTTGGGGTTTATCCCCAAAGAGATCATTTCACAGAACAAACTGACACTCACATTATGCATTCCATTTTGTGAATACCCCACAATCAAGCTACTCCAGGAGACAACATCTTTGGAATTTGTAGACCAGAAAAGACAATCAGCCATCTCTACGCAACCGCATTTGCAGTACATATCTACCAAGGCGTTGGAAACATATATATCACCACTTGCTCCACTTTTCACAGCACATCCATGCAATGCAGTTCCAACCTGCAATTCACCTGCTCTCCCACACGCTGAAATGACAGTTGCAGCAATTAGAGAGTCAACCCCAAACCCTTCTGATCTCATGTGATTGAACAAATCCACCACCTCAAGCCAGTTCCCTGAATGCACAGTTCCTCCAATCATCGCAGTCCACGCAGCCAAATCCCTCACTTGCATGCTCTCAAAAACATTCCTTGCTTCATCCAAGCACCCACACTTTGCAAACATATCCACAAGCGCGCACTGCACAAACACGTTGGGCCTCGCATTACCGCTGGCAATGTCAGTCTCCACCATCTCCCATACCTTCCTCCCCTGCGCAACAGCTCCAAGCGCAGCACACGCCTTGATGACAGGCGGATACGTGAAACCATCCACCGCTACCGAGCCATCGTTCACCATCCCCCAAAACATCTCCAGCGCCTCCGAGAATCTACCAGCGTCGACAAGGCCCTTGATCACGGCGTTCCACGCGAAGGAGTTCCTCCTCGGCATTCCGTCGAACACCCGCAGCGCGTGCGCGACATCCCCGAGCTTCGCGTACGCGCGCACCAACTGTGCGACGAGGACGGTGCCGTGGCCGTGGCCGCCGACGAGGACCGCCGCGTGAAGCCTCCGTGCCTCCTGGAAATCCGGGCACGACTGCAGCCGGAGGAGGAGCGACGCGTGGGAGACGACTTGAGACGCGGCCGCATGAGAGCCGCGGCGAGCGGTGGCGGCGGGAGCGGGAGCGCATGTGGAAGTCGTCGCCGGCGAGGCGAGAGGAGGTAGCCGTGGCCGCGATTTGATCCTCCCCTTGACGGCGGCGGCGGCGGCGGCGGCGGCGGCGAGCATGGTCTCCGCGAGCCCTCCGCCGCGCGGGGTTTCATCAGTTCAACGTAGGAAACTGCCTAAACTGACGTGGCGCAGTGGCAGTTGAAACACTCTCAAGTTTGAACAAACGAAATTTTTCATAGGCAAGGTTGAACTATTGCGCTAGTTTGATTTTCAGACAAGCGAATTTGAATTTTATTCCTGTTTGAATCGAGAAAAGTCTCCTTTCAATTTTTCATTTCATACGTGTCAGTCATAAAAAAAATAAAAAAAATTGGCAACACAGATTAATATAAAATATATCAAAATTCAACTTCTACCAGTTGTAAAAAAAAATTAACAAATATAATTGCAAATGTGCGATAACTATTTTCAGTTTAATTTGTTATTTTTGTTGCATACTTGTAGAAGTTGAATTTGGTTTTACATGTTTGTACAGTGATATATTTCGTATTGATCTATACTAGAAAAATGCCTGTGCGTTGCAATGGGTGAAGTTTTTAGTCTTATTATTGTTATATGGTTTAGTTAAAATAAAATTCACTTAAATATATATATATATATATTAGAAATCATGAGCTGCAGTTAGGAGTTCGATCGTCTCAAGTTAGCATGCGAGTTTTTTAATCATATTTCTTATATGATTCCTTCTATATTACCAAAACTGAACGATCTTAAGAACCGACAAAAATACAGATATGTATTTCTAAAAGCAAACGAACTTAAAAACTGATACACACACTAATAACGTACCAAAATACCGGCAAAAACATCTTTAACTTTTATAATAGTAGAGATTGTTATTTTTTTAAAAAAATTTAATAACTATTTACATGGACATGCAAATAACGTCCTCCCGAGGGGTGACGAATCGCTTGTATCCACGTCACGCGTGGACGCGTGTGACGACCATGGGGAGGCCGTGCTTGGGGCGGAGCGTGATGACGTCGGTGGGCGCGTGGACGTACTCCGGCGAGAGCTCCAGCCTGAACCGCCTGAGTATCGCGGCGACGACGGCCTTCGCCTCGACCATGGCGAAGCTCTGCCCGACGCACGCCCTCGGCCCCGTGGAGAAGGACAGCAGCTTGGCCATGGCGCCGCCGCCGCCGTCGAACCTCATCGGGTCGAACACCCCGGCGTCGGCGCCCCACACCTCCTCGTCGCGGTGCATCGTCGCGATCGGGAACGTCAGCATCGTGCCTCCCGGCACCGTCACGCCGCCCATCTCCACCGCCGCCGCCGTCCGCCTCCGGATCGCCGGCACCGGGCTGTACAGCCGCAGCGTCTCCAGTAAGAACTGATTTAGCTGCCAAGGGAAAAAAAAAACGAAGCATCCTTCCATTAATGGTCACATCGAAAGCTCACTCCACCATTAATGGTGATAGCTGGAGATGGATTCTAATTATTCAAGTCCACCCGTTTGTTTCATATCAAATAAGACATGCTTTAGTTTTCAAAATAAAAGCTTTTCACCCATCACATCGAATGTTTGGATATATGTATAGAGTATTAAATACGAAAAAAAAACAATTACACAGTTCGTTAGGAAATTGCGAGACGGATCTTTTAAGCCTAATTATGCCGTGATTTGACAATGTGGTGCTACAGTAAACATTTGCTAATGATAGATTAATTAAGCTTAATAGATTCGTCTCGCAGTTTACTGGTGGAATCTGTAATTTATTTTGTTATTAGACTACGTTAATACTTCAAATGTGTATTCGAATATCCAATGTGATAACCAAACTTAAAATTTTTCTCCAACCAAATAAGACCTAAATGGTTATGAAAAAAAATAAAAAAATAGACAAGATAGATTAATATGTAAATATATCACTCCACGACATGTAAGTTCAAATTTAACTTAACAAATTGCATTCCTACCAGCTTCAGCTTGCCGAGCATGTCGTAGGTGGGGAGCTGGTCGTCGTCGTCCCCGGCGCCGGCGCCGGCGCACTCTCTCACGGCTTCTTCCCGGAGCTTGTCCTGCCAGTCCGGGTGCGTGCTGAGAAGAAACATGGTCCAGGAGAGGAGGTGCGAGGTGGTCTCCTGCCCGGCAAAGAAGAAGGTCTTGCACTCGTCGATGATCTCGTCCATGCTCAGCACCGGCGGCTGACGACGCTTCGTGCCCAGCTCCGGTGGCGCGCTGGCCTCCAGCATCAGCCCGAGCAGGTCCTCGCCGTAGCCACCGCCACCGCCGCCGGCCTTCTCCTTCGCGGCGGCGGCGAGTCTGTTGCTGATTATCTGCATCAGCGTACTCCTCACCTTCCTGTCCAGCCTCCATACTTTCAGATTCTTCTTGGTTGGAAAATACCTGCAAACAAATTATTTCAGTTCAGATGAAATTTGACATGGTAAAGTGTTTGTACCTACCTGGAGCCTGGGATTTGGACGCTGAGAAGGCTTGAGAAGGCGATGAACTGGAGCTCCTTGATCGCCATGAAAACCTGCTTCCCCTCCGCGTAGCTGCTCCCGAACGCCGTGTGAGAGATCACGTCCGCAGTCAGCTCCTCGAACTGGCTGCTCAGCTCGATCACCACCTTCCCGCCATGGCTCGCCACCTTCTCCTCCCACCTCGACACCATCGACCGTGCGACGCCGGCCATTGTCGCCGTCATCATCTTACACCAAACAATTTTTCAGTTTACTACAAGCCATGGCGTCCTGCGTCAGCAAGAAGAAGGCAATATGTGATGTGATGTAATGTACCTTGAGCTTGTCCGTGTTGAAGGCGGGGTGGACGACCTTCTTGTGTCGCTGCCACTCGTCGCCGTTGGCCAGGACGAGCCCCCTGCCGAACAGCTTGAGCAGCATCGGTGTCGTCACGTTCTTGGGGAACAGCCCTGTCCTGTCCGAGAGCACCTGCTTCGCCACCTCGACGTCGGCCACGCACATGTCCGGCGTCCATCCAAACCAGTACAAGAACACTCGCCCTGCACACAAAAAGAATCAATAACATCACATAGGATTCAGACGAAGACGATAGCTAGCTGCAGCTCTGATTGTTATGTTACCGTAGAGAGGGATCCATTGGCGGAACTGAGGCTGGACGAAGGGGATGAAGTCGTGGGAGGCGACGTCGAGCGCCGCGGCGCCGCCGGCGCCGGCGGCGTCCGCGCGGAGCTTGTTGATGTCGCCGAGGCTCCCGACGAGCAGCCTGTACCCGGGGCCGCGCACGCCCTGCCGCCGCAGCGCCGCGGCCACGGCGCGCGGCCGCCACACGAGGCGCGACAGCGCGTCGAGCAGGCACCACGTCGCCAGCACGGCGGCGAGCGCCCATCCGTAACCCATTTGCGCGCACGCGGGGCGAGTGTGAGATAGATCGATGCTGCTGTTCCCGATTAGGGCCGGAAATCGAGAGGAAGAAGATGCGTACAGGAAGCGTACGACGACGAGCTGTATGCCTGTATGCTAGGAGTAATTGATTTTTATGGAACACTGCAACACATCACATCTGATCCGTGGATTTTTCATAAACACGTTACTACATTTCATTTTCTGCTTTAACCGTGCGTCAGCGTCATTTTCCTTTTCTATCGTGTGGCTTGCGCGCTCCCACGCGGAACGCTATCCTGGAGGGCCCATGGGCCTTGTTGGGCCATGCATTTTTGTAGTTTCAACTTTTTAGTGATCTTCTGTGTTCGGCTCCACAGTTTCCCAACTCCTCTTTCTCGTCTTCCGCGCACACGCTTTTCAAACTGCTAAACAATGTTTTTTTTAAAGTTTCTATAAGAAAGTTGCTTAAAAAAATCATATTGATCCATTTTTGAAAAAAAAATAGCTAGTACTTAACTAATCATGTGCTAATGGACCGCTCTATTTTCCGTGCACAGGAGTTAGGTTGCCATCTCCCCCAAACGAGCAAAGCTAGTGATGTATACGGTGGACCGACGGTGCTTAAACTTGTGTGTGTGCGCCATTTAGGTCCTAAACTCTTATGTGTAAAGTTTCTATGGCTGATACTTATATGTACAATTTTTTACGTTTCTATAAATATAAAATCAATATGCTGAATATTTTTATGACACAAAGTTTTTATATGTGCCAAAATGTATATGTATATGAAGTTTTTAAGGTATAAATGAGTGTTGTTAGGCTGCGTTCGTTCTCCTGAGTTGGGAACACATTCCCTCCGCTCCGCACGAAAAACAAAGCGATGCATTTTCTTATGATTAATTGAATATTTATTTTTTTTAAAAATAGATTAGTATGATTTTTTAAAGCAACTTTCATATATATATATATATATATATATATATATATATATATATATATATATACACACACACACACTAGCAAAATATATCCCTTTGCACGTTAGACACACGACACAAAAACAACGGTATGCTAATATGCTACTTCTATCTAGTGCGGTTCTTGATGCAAGGGATCATTACAAAGCTTTGCTTGCTTGCTTTGCTTTTACGGGTCCGTCCCTCTCTCGGACTCCGATCGATTGATCAAGCGAGCTAACCAACGCCGTCTCGGGAAAGATAGTTAACCAACACATGTACAGAAAAAAGAATTAAGCCGTCACCTTCCCTTTTAACGTTGCTTCCTTGATACAGCTTTAACTAACTTGCCCCACCCATCTCATGCCATTGCCATGCACACGTACGAACGAACTACACACATCACCCACCCCGACCTCCAGCTGCTAAAAAAATATTGGGTAATTGGGGATTTTTTTTGGCTCCTGCTGTCTCTCGCGATATGATCTCCCGTGGCCGCGACGCCCAAACGAATTCGTGAGGCTTTTTAGGTGCGTCGTCTCTGCTTTCGTTTGGCGGCGACGGCAACCGGGATCAGGTCGGCTAGCTTACACACATGTGCTCGGCGATCCAAATCAATCAGATTAGTTATGGACTTGTTTGTTGGTACGTGCGAGTGAAGACATGCACGCACGCGATGGCGAGCGCACTGATGTGCAGGTTGGACCTGAAATTAATTCAAGGGGATATGCATTAGTATTTCTTTTCAATGTTATTTTGTTTTTCAAGTTCCCTGGATTGGTAGTGTACTATTGTCCCTCTGCTCAAATTAAGCATGGTTATTTGGACATCGATTTCGTGCCGAAGATTTCAAATCATGCACTTGAAACGGGTAATTATGTGGCAGTACGATGTACGGATATGTCCATGAGAAACTTGTTGGAGCTGAACCATCACTGTAGCGTGCCAGAGGCTTTGTTATGGGCCTGGCCTGCTTACGTGGGCTGGTCGATGTCAATCGTGGGCCACGACCAGAGCCACAGCGATACGGCATAGGAAAAAGTACACCGAAGGTCCCTCAACTTGTTATCGAATTACAAAATCGTCCCCCAACCGTAAAACCAGATATATGACATCTCTTAACTTACAAAACCGTTCATTTTACATCCTTCGGTGGTTTTTACCCGGTTTTATTCGACGTGGTGGGTGAGTCAGCGTAGGACCCATGTGGGTCCCACATGTCAAGACACCACGTCATCAGGCTATCTCTTCCCCCTCCTCTCCCTTCCTCTCTCTCTCTCACTCATCTCCCTAGGCAGGCTGGCCGGCAGAAAGATTTACAAAAAATAGACCCTGCGGCTCTCCATTTGGGCGGCAAGCTGACGTGGCACACGGCGTCGTGATGTGCCGTGTGCGCATTTTGAGCTTAGACCCTTGGGGCTAAATGTAATTTTTGCCTTGCTAAAAAAAATTGACTAGTTCTTTTTACATCTGGGCCCCTTGCTGCCCTTGCGAATTTTGCACGGAGGCTCCTTGCCGCCCAGACAGAGGGCGGCAAGGGGGCCACGTGCAAAAAATCGCAGCCCCCCAAAACGACCGTCCTGCACCGTGTGCCACGTCAGCTTTTCGCTGATATAATATTTTTATAAATATTAAAAAATAAATCTAAAAATGAAAAAAAATCAGTGTTCAACATCTACTCTGAAACAGTGCCAAATATTTCTTGTAGTGCCAAATATTTCCTGCATCCTTCGTACGGCCCATAGTTAAATATATTTTCTCCGCTACAAAATGTTGGTACCTAGAATGAAATTTAGATAACGAATATGGATAAACTTTTATCCAAATTTATTGTCGAGTCTGTATATAATTTCTATCCAGATTAATTGTTCTAGTATGGATTAAATCTCATTTTAGATTACAACATTTTAAGACGATGGTACCTTCAGAATAGACAAAATGCCAGGTAAAACCTCAATAATATAAAACTCGAAAATGTAAATGAAGTCTGCTCTGCCTTGTGAGGCTAGGCTGTCCAGGGAAGCAGGAACCAAGTCAAGCATGGACTGTAACATATCCATCGTGGCATCCAAAAAGCATGAATGAACAGGACAATCTGCAGAGTGCAGTTATCAAAGATACAGGGTATCTCAACTCCCCAATGTTGAGATGCATTGCAACTCTGCAAGTTCAGTAAAATTTAAAAGAAGCTTAGCATGAAGATTTATTATCACATATTGGCAGAAAAGGTGTCAACTGTAAGGCCTTTGTTGTATTTCTGCATAATCTGACCTTTAAGGCTGTCATAAATAGAACAGTATCTCAGTGCCTTATAATTAATGGAGAGCTCATAAGATAATCACACCTCACAATCCATGCACGTAAACTCGGTTCATACAAGTGAAACTCTCATCCATCAGAAATGTCTAAAACTATTATCCCATTTACAAGTGGGTCCTATTATTATTATTATTATTATTATTATTATTATTATTATTATTATTATTATTATTATTATTATTATTATTATTGGTGGTTGTTCTTTCGTGTAAACACCATATAGTATAAAGACTAGGTTAATGTACCACATGAGTAAATACCAACCTTAATACTGTTCCGTGAGTCGTTATACACAATTTTTTTACGACTAGTAGCATGCCCGTGCTAACGCTACGGTAACATGTCGTAAAACATATTAAATAGTCAAAATAAGATGTGGTAACAACTAACTATAGAATGAGATAGGTTGGCATAGGAAATATCATTTTTGTTAAAGTAAGGACTTGTGGTAGCAAACCAATTTCACCCAAAAGGAAGCTCAGTCAGTTCTGGTACAACTTTTTTACAGACTTTCTTACACCTTTTATAAAAAAGAACTGATTCATTCAGCACCAAACACAGCCCTTGGATCTGCCATTAGGGAATATCCACATATATATATAACTAACCTGAAGAATTATCTTCAGCCGTGGTTAGTGCTGGTTCGTGCCACTATGTGTAGGTAGAAAATAGTACTAACTGGTAGCGCCAATTAAATTTAGGAAGAATTAACTGGATACAATTACAAGAATGTTGATTCCATTATGGAGCAGCATATGCTCTCAGGCGGCATAAATAGTGCACCCGCACCCTACCGTCGAGGAAAAAAACATAATTTTGCAATCAATCGGATTAGAATTAAATTAGGGTTCAACTCAATAAATATGTTCCACGGTGCTTGCACCAACTAAGTGATGCTGACCTGTAGTTAGAAATATAACAAAACATAATAACCCATGATAAAACTGAAAGCATCTTGTTATTAAAATCGATAGTTGAGTTAGTTCTCTGACAGTTTTTGTAGAGTAAATACATCTGAAAATAAAGCTCCAGATTTACCAGGGTGATTCACACGATCTAGCAGCTTTGCTCCAACACAAATTGAACCCATATGCAAATGTCTGAAATAAAGTACAGTTAGCTATTTTATCTCATCGAAGGAAATAAAGTGCGAATGCTTTTTCATCCTAATCCTTTGTAAATATAACTCCATCAAAATGCAGTGTATGCAGAGAAATCCTATCATTTTGAACCATTTGAAATCCTATCATTTTCAACCATTTTCTTTAACATCAAAGTCGATTTTCAGCATCACCCTATCATCAAAGTCCATTTTCCACATCGTCCTCTCATCAAAGTCCATTTTCTTAACGTCGAGCTTCATTTTCAGTCTCCCTCCCCTGTGCCTTCCTCTCATCTTATGCAGAGTATGCTCAACTTCATAGATTTACAGTAAAAGATCCAAATCAAATTTGGCAATAAAATCTTTATTAACTTGTTTGAGGATCTAGGAACAGAGGATACATTGCCTTAACCTGCATACTCAGCTGCTCCTTGATCAACAAATTGCAGCACCAAGGCTGCAGAGTCCCCTAACCTGCGAGATGCTCAATTTTTCAGCCTGCTACGCAGAAGCAAAAAAACAATCTGCAGTCCGCTTATCCACTTGGCAATCTGCCATACTTCCCAGTACTTCTACAGCTAAAAATGTTGCCACAATCAAGCAAATGCTATAAAGGGAGGTCAAATTTGCAAGTAAGATATATTGATTGTATTGTTTCAGTCTACCCGCTTCTCTAAATAACCACTATTTGATGTAAACTTAGGATAGAACTTGGTTTTAAATCCAGCGACTATTCTGCATCAGATTAACCGTACTATATATACTGAAGGTCTGAAACATGCAAAATCATGCCTAAATTTGACCAATTTGTCAACGGATATGCTAGACGGAGGAATTCAGGAATCATAACACCATTTAATAATGGGATACATGTGGACACAAATATGCAGGCCAAAATTAAGGCAGCAAGAAGAGAACATTCTTATCTTTTCAAAATACTGTAAGAGTGTGATTCATTTCTTGCAATAAAGATACTACATTACGCTATTCTGCATCTTAAAAAATGGCATTGAAATGGGACCGTTTTCCATATATTCCAACAGATTGCAGTAAAAAAAATGAAACCCATGCCACAAATAACTCAGGGATATCACATTGGTGCAATCAAAGAATCAATGAAACACTTTTAGCATGTTTAAACTCCACAGCACAAGCCTGATACACAAAAACACAAATTTGTTTGGTCAGCGAGCTAGATATTAGTTAGTAACCTGATTGCGACAGCATGGATCACATCGGTCCCCTGCACCACTGCAGCCACCCCTAATGATTTCTTATTCTTACAAAGATGGCAAAACAGGAGCTGAAGAAAGCAAATTAAAGAGAAAAATAAGAGATCGGGTAGCTTACTTGGTGCAGCGTAGGCTTGATGTCTTGCCTGGATGCCGACGACGCCGCCAGATCGGAGCTTCGGAGCTGGTGCTGATGCAGTGAGCTAGTACATGTGGGATTTTGTCCGTGGGTATCTAAACCATACATCAGGGGCAAATGACGGCACCTGGCGAGAGGACGGCCAGCTTCAAGACGGCGGCGGATGTGGTTTTGGCACCGCGCGAGGCTGTTCCAGGGATCAGGCACGCTGGGCGGAGATGGCCGTCGACGACGGTGCTCGGATTTTCGTTGAGGCTGTTCCCCGAAGACTCCAGGCGACGGCGATCTGGCGGCACGGAGGCGGGCATACAAAGATCGGTGGCGTCGCGAACGAGAGTAAGGGTAGAGCGGCGGGCATCGGTGTCACGGCGGCGGAGAGGCGAGGAGCCGGCGGCGACGAGTTGTGAGCGACGGCGGCGAATCGTGGGCAGCGCTCGCAGAGGAGACCGGCGTGGTGGAGAGGCGAGGGGCGGCGGCGCGGTGTGGGGACGGCGACGGATTGGGGGTTGGCGTGACGCGGGGAGAGAGAGGGAGCGGCGATGGCGGTGCGGTAGATTGGAGAGGGCGGCGGTGATCGCGGGTCTGGTGATGAGGCGACGCGGCGGCGGGGCAAGGAGGCGACGCAGGGAGGAGGGCGAAGGACGCGGCGTGGGGAGGGAGAGGAGATCGATCCGAGAGAAGGGGAGAGGAGCGATGCGCGGTGGGGAGGAGATCGAGGCCGTTGGATATGGCAATCGGATGGTTGAGATTACGTGTGTCTGTCAAATGCGTCTGCTGTGTTAGGAATCAAGACCACCACTACCGATTTTTTAAGTAGTAGATATATATATATATATTAAAAAAAACACCGTTTAGCAGTTTGGGAAGCGTGTGCATGGAAAATAAGGTGGAGGGAGTTAGGAAACAGGCACACAGCTGGAATGAACGCAGCCTTAATGCATATATGAATGGGCTGCAGGTACGCTCATGGGCCAAAATTGAAAGGGCCAATTAGAGTGGGTACAATAGCATAGTATAAGCTAGCTATAAACACATCGAGATGATAAATTATGAGAGAGAAGGGCAGTGGTCTACATATTTGTAGCCAGCTGCAGCACAGATTATAAGACACAATATATTTATTTCAGGTCAGACCATATATTACTAATGTATTGTATGTTTATAGGTAACTATTTAATGAATTGGCTATTAAATCGACTATAAATGATTTGAAGCTAATAGTTGGCTATGCTATTAAACTTGCTCTTAAGACGTCTGCTGCACCAAGAATACAAACGACGAGTAAAAAACTCCCATATATTACAATTAGAACGTTTGTACGCACGCGGAAACAAGTAAAAATCTGGCGAGCCTGGCCGGCGTTGGATGATGACCAAATCAACTTGCTACGTGGGATAAGACCATCGTCCAGACCGCTTAGTGGTAAAACGAAGTAGGAGTAGGTTCTATTACTCTCTCCATTCCACTGAATAAGACGCGGTTAAAATTGGTACGGTATCTAAAACTATTCTTTAACTATAAAACTTTCCGTATATTACAATGTTTTTAGTAACAAGATTATAATAATAGGAAAGAAAATTCAAATATCAATCCAATATTTTTTTTCATAAAATAAAGTTTAATTTATAATAAAATAAATAGCTAAATTTTAAAACACGTGCATATACTTTATTTAGTGGAGTAGGATGAAGGGAGTAGTTGACAAGCATCTGTACCTGGTTTATGGTCGGGAGAACAAAATCGGGATCATGGTTTTTGTATGAGGGGTTCTATATGGACTTTTATGTTTTTCTCTACTCCTCAGCTAGGCCCATCTGTGGTCCATCAGGCCTCGGCTGAGAGAGGAGACGGCCTGGCACGGCCAACCCCACGCCGGCCGCCGCCGCCGCGACGATGTACCTTGCAAATCTCCGTTTCCATCGTGTCGGAGGGGTTCGGAGTTTGAAACAACGAGCCTCTCTATCTTTTTTAATTTTTGTTTTATTTTTTACTTTTGCTGGTTGAATTGTCGTATTAGAGCATATACAATAGCTGACTATAAACCAGCTATAAACATATTTTAAAGAGATAAAAGATGAGAGAGAAAAGCAACGGGCCACAGATCTGGAGCCACCTGCACCACGGACTCTAAGACGTAATATGTGTGACAAGTGAAACCATATATTAATAGTATAGTAAGTAACTATTATATGAATTGACTATTAAATTCGCTATATATGAATTATAGCTAATAATTGGTCATACTATTAAACTTCTTTTATCAGAGGGAGAAAGAAGAGAGATTACTTTACGCTGGTTGGCAAAGAGATGGTGCAGGACAAAGTCAACTGACGTACTAAAACCCTGAACGCTGGTTCAGTGAACGAGCCGCGTTCATCATGGTTAATTAAATTGACGCGTCTAAGTAGTTACTCTCTTTATCCCATAATATAGCAGTCTAATATTAAATAAGAACATTAAAAAAACATAGGATAATATATATCATAGTATTATAAATCTGTAAAAAATATTCTAGTACTACGTTCGGGAGAGTCTCTCTATCCAAATTCGTTATACGAGGAACCATTTAGTAGGGAGTAGAACAATAGCTACTATATTTATTTCAAAACATTTTGGGATGGAGGAAAAATAGCAGGGCCCATCATTTATATTATTCGGGGAATAAGCCAAAGCATATTTATAAACGAAAAATAATTTGTATACGTGTTCTTAGCGATTTAAAAGTAAAGGCTAAAAATAAATTTTGATAAAAAATCCTCTTAAAATCAACTTTAAATTTAAAGTTGAAAAATTTAAATTTGGACTGATAAGTATAAGCATAAACGAAAAGACGAGGCTGTGAGCTTCCTCTTCACGCGGCACTCAATCGTGGCCGTTGGGAGTGCACACTGATTATACAAACTCAACGTATATGATAGTTCTTCGAGCTACTTAGATGGATGACATAGTATGCTAGAACTTCTTTTGTTTACTCCCTTTCTCTTCTCCTTGTAGTAATTTGTTATCTTCTGCAAGTGGTTCCCCTAGTCAACTGGACATCATTTGCATTTGTTTTGTTGTTTTGACTCGGCCCGGATCCACGTACGTATTCATATTGCTCTAGTCAATATCTTGGCTGATGAGCTAGGAAACACCAAAAGTTCTGATATCCAACCAACGGTCAAAGCAGAGAAATCTGCACCTGAATTTCGTACAAAGGGAATATATATCATACAAGTATGATAAAAGAATAACAAAACCGATCTGAAGTGTGTAACATTTGGAATGCCAAACAAGTAAACAACCGCCATATCCGAATCAACACGCTTATAACGTCACATACAAAGGCAGCGTAAATACATACATTTCTTCCACATATTCAGGCTCTTTTTTGGGGAGAAAAGGCATTACACATTTCTACATCTTCAGACATTTTGTGGATTAGGCTTTCGTTTTGTTTTATCACTTGCATCCAAATCTTTTATAAACTATTATATGTTTCAGACCCAGCTATCATTAATTATTACAAGTAATGTCTACTGTCTGACCTAGAGCACTAATTCAGATGATGAACACGTGATTTTGCATACAAACGATGCATATTTGCATAATATATACACATCTCCTTACACATCTGATTAACTAATCTTCAGGCTACTTGATGAATAAGATAGTGACATCTTATATGGTTCTTACGTTTAATTTAAAGACTTGCTCCGTTTCTCTGCATATATATATCTGTTTTCTTGTCTTGACTGAAGCATATGACCTTGTCAACGATAATTTCGTCTTTTGTTTTTGTATCTCCGATCCATACTGCTCAGGCCAAGAGTAATATACTAGTAGTACCTTGGTTGATGAGATAGAAGTACCCAAAACTTCTTAAATCCAATCAACAAGCAAACTAGATATATTTACACCCCAATTTCGTACAAAATGGAATCAATGCATTACACACAGTAACATCATCAGTAGGAGCAAATGCTCATGAACAAAAACTAATCTCGTGTACAACAAAGAAGTACTAAAATAACCCCCTCCTAATGAACAACTTCTACACCTTGAGACTCTTGAGGATCATAGGCAGCCCATACTTTGGCCGAAGCGTGATCACGTCGGTTGGCACGTGGACGTACTTGGGTGATAGAGTAAAGGAGAACCTCTGTAGGATCATTGCAATTACGGCCTTGGCCTCGATCATGGCGAAGTTCTGCCCAATGCATGCCCTCGGCCCACTGGAGAAGGAGAGCAACGCGTTGGGATATTTTCCCGCCTTTGACACCCCATTCTTGAACCTCTCCGGCTTGAATATGTCGGCGTCCTCGCCCCACACCTCCTTATCGCGGTGGATTGTTGCAATCGGAATCGATAGGACAGTGCCCTCAGGGACCGTGATGCCGCCGAGTTCTAGCTCGGCGTTGACCCTCCTCTGTATGAATGCAACAGGGCCATACAACCTCAGGGTCTCGAGGAGGAACATGTTGACTAGCTTCAGCTTGTTGAGCATGTCACCGGTGGGCACCTTGCCGTCACACTCCGTTGCCACCTCCTCCCTGAGCTTCTCCTGCCACTCCGGATGTGTGCTCAATAGGAACATGGTCCATGTGAGAAGGTGTGAGGTGGTGTCGTGCCCTGCAAAGAAGAATGTCTTGCACTCGGCGATGATCTCGTCCATACTAAGTTGTGGCTGGCTCTCCCCGTGCTCCGGTGCACATGCCTCCAGCATTAATCCGAGCAGGTCGTTCCCGTATCCTGCGACATCTTTGTTGTTGAGCCGGCTCTTGATGATGTCCGTGAGCATGCTTCTCACCTTCTTGTCCACTGACCATGTCTTTAGGTTCTTCTTGGTCGGGAGGTAGCTGGACCCCGGGATTTGGATGCTAAGGAAGGTGGAGAAGGCAAGAAATTGAAGCTCTCTTTGTGCCAAGAACACTTGCTTCCCCTCCTTATAGCTGCTCCCGAATGCTGTGTGCGAGATCACATCAGCGGTAAGCTCCTCGAATCGTCGGCTCAGCTCGATCTCCACTATATCGCCCTTTGTCCCCAACTCGGATTCCCACTCGGAAATCATAGATTGGGCACAATCGGACATAGTCACAGTCATCATCTTGAGCTTGTCCATGTTAAATGCCGGGTGGACTACTTTGCGGTGGCGCTTCCACTCATCGCCGTCGGTGAGCACAAGCCCCTTGCCGAGTAGTCGTGCGAAGTATGGGTTCGACACGTTCTTAGGGTACATCCCCGTCCGGTCCGATAACACCTGCCTCACCATGCTCACGTCTGCCAAGCAAATGGTAGGCCGCGCTCCGAACCAATACATGAATGTCTTCCCTGCAGCACGTAAATAAATACGAAAAATACACATATATCATAAACTAGCACTAGGATATATATATATATATATATGATACTTACAACATCTGATTTTGTAAGAATCAAAAGAAAACTCCTTATCGGTGAAGTCACGGAGAGCGTACCATAGAGGGGGATCCATTTGCGGAAGTGCGGCTGCACGATGGGGACGAAGTCATGGGAGGAGACGTCGAGCACGACGCCGGCGCCCTCGTCGCGGAGACGCCTGATCTCGCCGAGGTTGCCGGAGAAGAACCGGTATCCCGGCCCGCCGACGCCCTGCGCCCGCAGCCGCCTGGTGATGGCGCGGGGCCTCCACACCAGCTTCACCACCGCGTCGAACGCCCACGACGCCACCACCGCCGCCACCGCCGCCGCCACCATCCACCCCAGATTACCCATGGCTACTAGACGTACGCCGCGAGATCACCTGAACCAGTCGCCGGAGTACGTACGCCTATACTGTAGCTCTGCTTCTGCTTCGATCGGCTGGTTGGTGAGACCTTGAGAGAGATCGAAGAGCTACCGGAGCTATGGCTTAGTTCGTCGTTGCTGTTTGTGTGGTGAGATATCGATCGATGGACTTGGTGGCTGCCGGAGGCTGTGATTTTATACGTTCGACGCCGCGCGGCCATGGGCCATGGCCGGTTTGACCTCCGGGTGGCTATAGCTTGGTGTGAACGCGCGGCGACGATGACGCGTACATGCCATGTCGGAAAGAGACCGTGACATCAGCCGTGATGCCAGCAGTTTTGGCTTCGCTGGCGATCACGTGCCGTTTCCGGGCTCGCTCTCCCGTGCGGACGACAGTATTTTTTACAGGACACCGACGTACACGTATACGATTAATACGTACACGTACAGCAGTAGTTGTATCGATTTATTTATCTGTTTATTATTACTCCGTCGGTTTCGTATTATATGTCGTTTTGAAATTTTTTTCATAATCAATTTTCTTTATATTGATCATGTTTCTAGGAAAAAAAGGTAATATTTTGAACACGAAACAAACATATTATCAAAATATATTCAATTTTATGTTTAATAAATTAATTTGGTGTTACAAATGTTGTTAAATTTGTCCATACACTTGGTTAAATTTAAAGAAGTTTGACTAGGAAAAATATAAAATGACTTAGAGTACATTTGACCATTTGTTTTATTTGAAAAATTAGTATAAATATAAAAAAGAATAAGTTATATTTAAAGTACAATATATATATACGTGTCGTTGGCCATGTACAAAATACTGTACTGTAATACGTACGTGTGGAAGAAGAGCACGTTTTAGCAAAGCCTGAGAAGAAAACAGGAGATAATGAGAGATTGATGATTAATTGGCCATAGGAGTAGAGAACAATCAGTGCTAACCTACTGACCTCAACACGGTGTCTGAGTTGTCAATTTGGCATTTGCAGAGCAAACTTTGGCGCGTTAGTCACCAAATCCCTAATGATTAATGAACATACTGGTCCAAGGATTGGGAGGTTCCCATTGACTTGTCCTGGATTTCATTTCTTGTCAATCAAGGTCGGAGAGATATTCAGATAACGTTTCTAGAAGGACAAATAAATGAGAAAAACAATGGGCAGCACGTAAGATGATTTATATACTCCATACTATAAACTGCATCACTGCAGCTAGCGTCCCACTCAAGAGACAATAGCATTACTAACCCGTAGTAAGAAACAGTGGCGAACTCAGAAATGGGCCCCATCGTTTAGCTTATTGGCGAAATAAGCGAAACGGCATATTCACAAACGAAAAATAATTTGTGAATAAAACTTTTATATACGTGTTTTTAGCGATCTAAAAGTAAAGGCTGAAAAATAAACTTCGATGAAAAAATACCACAATCAATTCTAAATTTAAGGTTAAAAAATTAAAATTTTAGCTGATAAGTATAAGCATAAACGAAGGTTGCCTTATTAGAGTTTTGGTCCAATAAAATCTTACATGCTGAAATTTCGAAGTGCTCCGCGAGTCTTTTGTCTTGGGCCTCGGGCATGCATGGCCCGTGTAATTTAGGGTGTAAGTCCTCCCTGAACTCATAAATAAAGTATATTTTATAACAAAAGTAATTTTTTCTTATCAATAAGCAGATCGGAAATAAAATCATTGTTTTAAAATCTTTTTGGACGGAGGAGGTTGTTAGCTAGGCCTGTTTGGCTGGCCCAGGCTGCGGCTGCACCACAGTCAACCGGAATAGTGCCGCTAGAGTACAGGGATGAAACTGGTTCGGATAGTTTCCGTCCGTCCGGACCATTTTTTGGATTCGGATAGTTTCGGTCGGAATTATCCAGAAATTCAGAATCGAAAACGAATACAGTTAGGGTACTATCCGTCGGAATCGAAAAACAGTCGGAAACTATCCAGAATTTTTTTTTCAGATATCCGCAGACATTGAGCAAATTATATAAAAAACACGTATATATACATAACTTTTTCATATAGAATCAGATGAAGACAAACTTTATATCAACATTGTAGAGCTCGATGAGATCTACAACTTTATTATTGACTATTTTATTATTTGAGGTCATTTATAGGTCTAAATATTCATTATAATATACCATATTAATTTTTATAAAATCTCAGATCTACAATTCAACGACATCTGATGGAGATGTGTTCCATATCAAAGTTGTAGAGCTCAATGGGATCTACCACTTTGTAGTTTATAACATTTGTATTTGAAAGGATTTAAAGTATAATACAAACATAACAAGTTTCGAAGATGTGAAGTAAAATAAATAAAATCTTCAATTTATACAATGGTAAGTAAGTTATACATATAGTAGGTCTTGGGAATAGAAAATGATAATCATATTTGCATATGGATCTCTTAGAGAAACAGCCGTAAAAATCGATTTTCACATACGGTTGTGAGACCGTCTGTAAAATTGACGATATAAATATTGGAGATGTTGAACTAAAATAATAAGTGATATATCTTCCTTGATCAAGAAACTCAATTTGAGGGGTTTTTTATATACCGGTAAATACTCGCTACCGTATTCGTTCCGTCTCGTATTCGCTCCGTATCTGTATTCGATAATATTCGATTTCATTTCCGTATTCGAGTTTTCGATTCTGATTCCGATTCCGAAAAAAATATGAAAACGAATATGATAAAGCTAGTTTCCGTCCGTTTCCGATCCGTTTTCATCTCTACTAGAGCATACATCACCATTAAAGTTGTGTCTGTTTTGATGATTGCAATTAGGCCGTATTTAGTTCAACCCCAACTTTCAACTTTCCATCACATCACATCACATCCAAAATTTTTCTACACACATGAACTTCTAACTTTTTTTTCTAAATTTTCAACTTTTTCTAAACTTGTAACTTTTTTTTTAGGAACTAAACACAGCCATAGTGACACTACTGCTGAACACTGATGACACGGTGTTCAGGCAAACGTTCTTTTTACGCAGTATATGTGCCTTTGATTGAGGCAATTACTGTACCGTGATCATCGTCTTTGCCTTGTGTCCTGGCATCGATTTTACTACATTAGTTTCAGATACTGTCATTCGGTTTACAGGTTTAGATATACGACGAAAACGCTTTTCGGCAAAAGACCTCAAAAGTCAAAACACGAACATGATGGTGGGAAACGTTGCCCACTGTCACGGAAAACGGTACAGTTCATTAGCGCGTGATTAATTAAGTATTAAAAAACTTGAAAAATGGATCGATACGATTTTTATAAAAGCAACTTTCCCATAAATTTTTTTTTAAAAAATATCACACCGTTTAGCCGTTTGAAAACTGTGCGCGAGAAAAACTAGGGATGAGAGTTGGGAACTCTCAGCGCTGAACTCAAACTTAATGACCAAGTGAACACTCGGGAGAATATATAGGTAGCCCGCTAGCAGTAAATTCATGGAAAATAGCAACTTATGTAGCGCCAAATTATTAATATTTTAAACTGAACTTCTTATTTATCACAAGTGAATGAACATGTTGAACATAGAAACCCATAACTATATTTAAAATGAGACGGATGTAGTAAATGCGACGGTTTGGTTTGAAGCCAATATGTTGATAAAAAAATGTTTAATTTGGTATAGTTCTAAAACTTTCTTCACTATAATAAAAAATTTGAATTCCAAATAACATCGAGCCAAACACACTTTTTCTTTATTAACCTGCTAAAATATTGGTAGTCAGAACTTATGAAAATACTGATACTATCAAAAAATATTTTGATAGGGTACTAAGTCACAAAAGCCCTACATCTTCTGAGATTGGCCATTGCGACTTGCAAGTCAAGACTGAAGTAACCGATTATACAACTGAGCATATGAAGTATTTGTTTCTTCGAGCTATTTAAGGAATAACATATTAAACTTTTTTTTAAACATGGTCTCCCTTTCTCTCCTAGTAGCTAGTCATTATAAACTTCTCTGTTTAAACATGGACCTTATAAACTTTTCTATTTACGCCGAGTTTAGATCCAAACTATTTCTTCAAACTTCTAACTTTTTCATCACATCAAAACTTTCCTACACACACAAACTTCTAACTTTTCCGTTACATCGTACAATTTTAACCAAATTTCTAATTTTAGCGTGAACTAAACACACCCTTAAACATTGCCTCCCTTTCCTTGTAACCTGACTTTAATATCTTACGCATGTGATTCGTTCAGTCAACTGGAGGAACGCGAGATTTTAGACAAGCACTAAATATTTAAATAGTATGACCATTCGTGTTATTTACAAAATTACATAATTGTTATTTATATTTTACCTATTTTATAACTAAAGGTTTTTTTTAATGAGATGAATTGTCAAATGATATTTACAAATTGATAGCGTCATATGCATTAAGAAAGTGAGTAATCATCTACTCCCTCTATTTCCCTCTATTTCATATTATAAGTCACTTTGATTTTTTTCCTAATAATATTTTGTAAGTTTGATTAAGTTTATAAACAAATATAGCAACATTTTCAACACATAAAAAAACACATTATCAAATATATTCAATGTGATATTTAATAAAACTAAATTGATGTTCTAGATATTGGTAAACTATTTTCGCTACAAACCTAAAGAAGTTTGACTAGGGAAAAAGTCAAATAGACTTTTTGGTGGGGTTGAGAACTCACCTCCTACGCACGTAAAACGGACAGACTCATTAGCGCATGATTGATTAAGTATTTGATATTTCTTTTGAAAAATAAATTAATATGATTTTTTAAAAACATCTTTCGTATATAAACTTTTTGTAAAATACACACTGTTTAATAGTTTAAAAAGCGTGTGCGCAGAAAACGAGGGTGGGGAGTAGAGAACTCTCTCAAAAGAACGCATCGTTATCCTATACATGAACCAGAGGGAGTAACTAGCTCTTTAATGAATAATATATTGTAATTTTAAGTGGTTAGTTGTTACATTTGTTTCAAGACTTGCTCCGTTTATCTACATGTATATTCTATTTTCAGTGTTGACTGACAAGCATATAACATTGTCGACAACCATTTGGCCTGATTGGAACCACAGAGTATCATATTTATCGACTCAAGAAACTTATTGGTTGATATGCTAGAAATACGAAAACTTCTTATCTCCAATCAACA